GGGTGGCCCACCCCCCCCCCCCCCCCCCCCCCCCCCCCCCCCCTCTCGAACGGCAACCGACTCCCTCGCGTCCGATACCGACACGATGCGGTCTGTCGGCCCCGACCAATTACGTTGTCCTATCCAGCAAAGGCTCGAGGGGGTGATTCATGTGAAACACTTGTTAATGGCGAGACACCTGTGCGGCCGCACCTTTGCGACTCGATGGCCTTGCCTTTTTTTTGTTGCTTTTATTCTGCCGATGACGCAAAAATAAATACTTTAAAGCGCTTACGGATTGTCACTTCTGGGTGAAGGATAAATCTCAATGAATGAAAGCGAAATTCCAGCACGGTCTCGTAACTTATTTTTCGCCGCTGGAAGGACTCAACTATTTATGAATATTTATGAATATTTATGAACGTCGGTGATGAATATTGATCGCAGCTGATCAAGCCGGAGGAGATGGTGAACCCGAAGGTGGACGAGATGTCCATGATGACGTACCTGTCGCAGTACCCGAACGCGAAGCTGAAGCCGGGCGCGCCGCTCCGACCCAAGACCAGTCCTGGCAAGTCAGTGCTTTTTTTTGCATTTTCGTTCTTCTCCGCTGCTTTGTTTTGTTCTGATGGAGCTGTGGGTTGGGGTTCTCTCTCTCTGGTGAGTTGAATTTTATGGATTATGATGCGATAAAATTATTAGTTGTTCTTTCTCTCTCTGAAAGTAATTTTGAACTGCAGGAGTTTTTCTTTTCAGGAAAAAAAAATCAGATTAAATTATTATTATTATTAATTAAGAAAAGAACTTTTTTTGTCTCTTTTACTTCGTTTGAATCTGCATCTCATCAGTTGTTTCTCTTTCACTCTTTTTGTGTCCTTTCTGTTGCATTTTCGTCTTTGATGAGATGTGTGCCTTTGGTGATGGTTGCACTGAAGTGTGAAAGATGATGGTGTTTTGGGAAAATTTGGGTCTGTCAGAATAATGCAGATGCTGTTCTTGTTCCATCCCCCCCCCCTTTCCCCCCACCTTTCCCCCCACCTTCCCACCTCCCTTGTTTTTCCTGCCCCGCCTTCTTACAGCCCTGCTTGGAGGTAAGGGAAACTGTTTCTGGAGTTCTCGTGTGCTTGTTTCGTGTTCTGTGGTCCCCTAACCCGCAATCCACCATCTGTGTAGCTGTTTTTAAGCTCCTTTGAGGCGTTAGTCACTTGTGCAGAGTTTGATGTGACTGAAATGAAACGGCTTTGGGAATGCAAGGCCGAATCATGAGAAAAGATGCTAGTGTTCCTAATATTCGAGTAGCAATTAGATTGAAAAAGAGTATCGGTGCAGTAGTTTGGTTGTAGTATTGTGTGACTAAAACTTTTACACGCCCCAAGAGGATGTGTGGATCGACTCGATGGATCACTTGCTTGGTTGCATTCTCATCTGATGTCTGACATCATTGCCTTGTATCATGCTTCTTTCATTGTTTTTCTCACACAGTTGCTGGTCTTCTCATCTTGGGAGTTGAAAAAAAAAAACTGTTAGAATGCATGGTGTACAAGTATTGCATTTCTAAACCTAAAGATAGCCCCCTTATGTGGCAACCTTGCATCTTATCATATCTGCTTGCATGCATCATGGTAGTAAAAAAAGATGAGAATATGGCTGTTACTAGTACAGGATATGATCATGATTACTCAGAGCACACTGCACACAATTGCCTGTTTTACTGCATTTGATGTACATTGGTAGTATTGAAATTGACTATGAATCAGTTATACCTAAAGAAGGAAGATTAATGATCAGCATGAAATGTGAGACGATTGATACGACTTTGATGCATAATAGAGTGCGAGCATATGGCCCAGGCGTCGAACCGACCGGCGTCGTTGTCGGAGCTCCGGCAAATTTCACGGTGGAAACCTTTTCTGCCGGCAAGGGGAACGTGGAAATTACGGTTGAGAACCCTAAAGGGCAGCCTGAACCGGTAAGTACCAAGTGCTGGTACTCGATGTAAGCCTGTACAGACTCATCCATCTTGACATGAAGTTGAGACATTTATTCATTTGCTTGCAGGTGGAGGTGAAGTTCAACAATGACAGGAACCTGACTTACTCGTGTTCTTACAATCCTCGCTTGGAAGGACCCCACAAGGTCACGGTGAAATTCTCGGGTCACGAGATCCCCAAGTCGCCGTTCAAGGTCAATGTGGAAGGGTTCGCAGGGGACCCGTCAAAGGTCAGGGCATCGGGGCCCGGCCTGGAACCCGAAGGCGTCATGGTCGGAAGACCCACCTACTTCGACATCTTCACTAAGGGTGAGCGTGGGCGTTCGTGGCTCGCTCGGCAATTACACGTCGTGCCTTCGTGAAAGGGAACAGAGACGGGAATGAAACAAGAAAAAAGAGAGTAAGAGGCGTAGGAAGAGGGGAGGGAAAAGTAGGTGCAGAGATATAGGGTGTAGAATAAGGGCGTGCAGGTGGCGGTGGAATAAGTCACCCGTCACCCATCCACCCACCCCGTGTTGGTATTCTGCCAATGTGTACAGCTTCCATGGTTTTACAGCAGGAAAAATGCAGCTATTCCATTTTCTCTTTCATTCCCCCTGCCCAAGCCTTAAATGTCTCTCATAGCTCAGCTGGTGATTCATGGCAAACAAGGTAGGTGTCAAAGGTCAACCATATGGGTTGGCTACATGGTGGGCCAAAAGAAAATTAAAAATAAACAAAACAAGCTTGATGCTGAAATGTTTTTTTTTTTTTCTCCAAAGAAGAGAGCTTTGAATCTGTTGATAAACCATGGTGTAAGTATTGATGATGCTTACACTTAGTCAGTGATGAAAAGTTCAGAATTGGCTTTCACCTTTTTCAACAAGTTATGGCTGCCAGATGTGAATGCCCTGTCAAAGAATTATGGGAAATAGCATCTTTCTTTGGGATAATCTTTACATCCAGATCTCAGAAGCTGGTGTTCCTGTTAACTTTTTCCACTAGTGTCCCCTGAAATTCATAATCAAAATGGTGCACATCAGACTTGGTTCACGGCCACATTTCGGGCTCTCTTAGATACCTTCCAAGATAGTGTTTAATCCCGGAAGTCCCTCGCAACTGTTGTTTACCCCAACTGCCTTCTTCACGGATCACAGTTAGCTTGACCTTTGCACCATTGATTGTGTGATACTGGTATTTAAGTGTCAAAGTAGCAAAGGTCACTTATGATGCAGTATGATGAGTCTACACTTATTCAAGCACTTGCATTTTAATAAGAAAACAATTAAGAAACTGGGCCATGCCTGGACACACAGGAATGCAGACCCTTTTCCATCATGATGCATACAGGTGCCTGCTTGACCCAGTCACCACACTCTGGTAATAGTCTCTCAGACAAGGACTTACCACTCAGTAGAAGGCCCCAGTAATGACATGCACTTTACCTGGCACATGATTGGCATGAGTCTGCACCCAAATTTCTGTTATTTGAGATAGAGACGTTGGTTAAAGTGAGCTGGAGTAGAGCACCATTCCTTTAATTTTGCTTCAGCTGGAAGCAGTTGAATTGCTAAAACAAGGTAATTCTTTTTTCCTGCAGGCTAGTATCTCCGTTCTTTTTATGCAATTGGACTTGGTTGGGCATATATAGCTTCTCAGTTATTGAGGAATTAGATTTATTTCAAATTTTATTTTGGTTTTTCATATGCCCTTTTCATTCAAATCTTGCCAAGACACATGACCTCAGGATCATCTGGCATTGCTAGTGCATTGTGGTCATAACTGTCATTTCACCTTATACCTTTCAATTGATCTTCACTGTCAGTTTTTTGGCATCTCATGATTTGTGGCACTGCAGAAAAAAGGTTTCACATTGCCTTAACAGCATTCTTTCAATGGGAGATTGGGGAATCCAGTAGCCTCGGAATATTATTTGCATATTTTAGAATCATTAACAGGTTGATCCAGTTAGTAATCTTTTGGCATTGAAATCTTTGTGTTTACATCAAACCTATTATTACCATTGTAATTTTGTAGCCATGTATGAATGCAACTGCACTTCAATGCTCAGCTAGAGAGCCACTTGGGGCATAATATTTTATTGAGCTCCTGTCTCTTCCCTCCTATGTGTTTCTTCCTGGTTTTTTTTTTTGGCTTTGCAAAATATATGCAACATATAACCTGTGATATAGGTGTTTATTGTAGGCCTAATTACTCATTTTCATGATTGGATGAAATAATGGACAGATGGGAATGATTTTCTTCCCATTACTTTGATTTTTTAGATAGAATGATGCTTAGTTGTCTGGTTTTTATCATGCAGATGCAGGAAAGGGTGTGCCTGAGGTCATCATATTGGACTCATCCGGAAATCGTAACACTGCTCCGCTGAAGTTGAATCAGATGAATGTGGAGACATGGAGGTGTGAGTACACGGCCTCTGTGCTTGGATTGCACTCGGTGAACATCTTCTTTGCCGGGAAGCCCATCCCCAAGAGTCCATTTGGTGTCCGAGTATCTCCAGGTGATCCATTGATCCTCATTCAATTTCCTTGCAAGCTGAAGTTCATTGTTGACCTTTTGACGATCGGTTCCTCTTGCGACAGTGTGCGATGCCCGAAAGGTGAGAGTCACAGGACGAGGCGTGCAAGCCAACGGAGTCAGAGTGAAGGACCTTGCTGACTTCAAAGTCCACACAGAGAATGCTGGCCAAGGCATACTTGATGTCAAGGTCATTGGACCAGGTTAGAACTGTCTTTGTTCTGTTCTTGAATCTCCATTCTGGGTCACTGATCAGGTTAGGTCAGTATGGGCCAAAGTGGAATCCTATTAATCCCCACACTATCTGTTTAACTCATTGGCTTTTGTGCTTCATCTAAATGAAAGAGAGAAGTTTGGTTGCATCCTTTTGGATGAATTTTGGCACCAAAAATTCTTTGAACTACAGGGAGTTAGAGTAACTGAATTTGGTAAAGGGATAAGGTAGTACTTAACCATGCAGATTAAAATGTAGATACAGGAGGTTACTTTGAAGTGTGAGTTGGTTTCTCCAATAGCAGAACTATGTCTTGGTTTTAAATTTTGATTTAAAAAAATAGAAGGAAACTGTGATGGTAGTTCTCTGACTAAATATGGGCATGTATAAGGTAATAGTCAGTGGTAGAGCAACAGGAAATGTTGAACTGAGAATGAGAAGCTGTGCTCATTGGAGTCTGGATTGCTATGTGTAGCTGATTGGATTGTCAGTAAAAACAAGCTGGGCAAAAATGCCCTGTCTAGTAGGAAGCTTCTGGACTTGGCTTTGTCTAGAAACTCATCACTGAAAAAAAGTCCTGTATCATGTATGACATGCATGTATTGTGGATCATGTGTCATGTGTGTTACAATGGATATGAAGAGTGAAGAGAGAGAAGGAAAGTTCAAGATAATGCCTGGAGATGTTTATTGAGCTGATTTTGTGGTTGGTGCAAAGGAAAGGAAGACCATCTCTTCTTTATGCTGCTCTGAAATAAATTTCAAATTTCTAAGATTTGCTAGTGCTGAAAATTTTGCAAAGTTGAACCCTCTCATGGGTGATTTCGTTTTTTTTCTTCACATTTTTGCAAACAAAGGCAGTTTTGTGATAATAATTTGTACAATTTAAGATTTCATGGTCAAAAAAGTATTATTCTTAAGGAAGATTATTTCACATTCTCATGAACCTTGAGGCATCTGGATGGATCTCATGAGGGCTAATTAGACTGATCTCATGAAGCTAACCTCATGAGATCTTATGCCATTTACCTCATGGAGGCTCCTCCCTGCTGGAAAGACCTCATGAGATCCTCATGAGGTTTCACAACATTTTCATGAGCAGTCATAAGATCTCCAATCCTAACTTCACAATCCTCATGGAGAAATCAGCAGATCTCATGAGTTTATGATGAGGTTTTTTCAACAAGGTATGATTGATAGCTTCTGGGTAATACATGCAGGTGGGGTTTTGCATGATCGCTAGTGCGATGGTAGTGAAAGAAAAATTTTTGCAATATGTCCTCAAGTGTGGACATTACCCATAAAAGGGTTAGAGTAATGACATATCTATAGATGGCTACCACTTCATTATGACATTGACTCACAGGCAATTGGACTCACAGACACTGTGGGAGTTGCATAAGCAACCTCATTTGCTTTGCAAACAAAGGACATTACCTGAAACAAGCTGTAATTATTCTGGGAGCCACAATCACTCACTGTCAATATCATTGAAATTTGTGGTTTGGTTCTAGATGAAAGTAAGATCTGGACAAATTTGAATTTTTTCTCTGTCAGTCATGGGACATTGCTAGAGTGTGACTCCATGCACATTATAGGGCATATTTTAGGGGGCTTGTAGTTTCAGTCATTCCAGCCCTTAGCAGTGGCAGATTTGCATTCCTAATGATCTTGGGGGCATTTGGAAATGACAAGGAGATTCCATAACAGGTTATTTCAGGAATTTATAATACTGGCCCAAAAGTAAGTTTCAACTCATTCTGGCATCATGATTACTTTGTATTTTAAATAATAGAGCTCCTTGTATGACAAAAAGAAATTACTCAAATATTCTCAAAATTAAAAAAGTTCATTTCCATAAATTAGAAATGAACTCAGTGGGCCTGAACCTTTTGCACGAGGGAGGTACTGTCAACGTTTGACTTGTATTCACCACATCCTAAGCTTCATGCAACCAACCTGCCAAGCATCCAACTGGCTTATGGCCAGAGGAGCCCATCACCACGTTTTCCCTGGGAACCCTGAATAGCTGACATGTCTTCATTAATCATCCTCATCTGCATGTACCTCCAGTGTAGAGGACCCACCATGCTATTCCTGATTTCACTTCTTAAAACAGTTGAAACTTTTTTGATATGTTGTTAAAACTGTCACAAAAGAGAAAGAGTTAATGGTGTTCTTGCCATTTATCATAAAATGAAAGACTGATTGATTTTCTCGCAGCATGTTGTATTAAAAAACTGCCAAAATCTGAGAAGTTTCTGTTTGGGACACCCAGTGGAATTTTAAAGATGTTCAGAACAAGTGGAAGACTACCATTAACCCTTTCACCACAGCTGACGAGTATAGTTGTCATGACGTAGCTGTGCCAGCTGATGGGTATACCCTTCCTGGTGTTTTGACAAGACACTGACTCTCTCATTTCGAGCTACGAGATGACAACTTAAGAAAATATCCAGCACAGTGATAGCAATTCTTCTTTGAAAACTCTGCAATGAAAGGATTAAGCTGGACTATCTCAGTTGTGTGGTTTTACTGGTCATGCTTCTGTGCAAGGCCAACACATCCCTCCCTGTATTAACACCCAGTCCCTTTTTTTTTCTCTACTTATTTCAGTTGAAGGACTCTATTGCACAATGTTCCCCTCTTGGATGCAGCATACTTCTCCATAGGCTTCATATGTTCCCTTCAAGTGACAAGCAAAAATTTCCAGCTGCTTACAGATTGAACGTCTCTCACTGAAACTGTATGTGTCAGAGCAGACTAATTCTCATTGACATAGTCTTGATTTGCACTGCCCAGCATGGCATCATGAATTCAGAGAAGCATCCAGGATTCAATTTGGAGTTAATATTATAATTTAAGGGAGTCAAGAAAAAGCACAAGACTTGGTAGAGAGGAGTGGGTCAAGCTGAGACTTAATCTGCAAAATTAACCAGGAGAGACAACTCAGCATTATATCTTTTTCATTATTCTTTAGCACCCTCCTATGTGCAGGATATGTATAACTTCAACAAACCAATTTTGAAGTGTCAGGGGAGGATCTTCCAAGAAGGGTTGCTGTAATAATTGCAGGATATAAAAGTTTTCACAAAATTTACCAAATTGAAGCTGTTATTGACATGTTTCTGAGCTGTGAAAATATTGCCTGATTCATCCTTTTTGGGATCATGATTGAAATGAGGAAAGTTTGCAGACTATGCACTGGGGAGAAATCGCTGGAGAGAAATTTGTCATGGGCCATGGCATTTCATACCAAGTATTGACATTTCATGACAGCTCTGTCAAGATGAATGAATTACTGACACTTGCAAAAAAATAAACTGGAAGTGGTTCCTTTTCCTCTCCGCTTTTAGAGTCTCATATGCTCTGTGAATCAACTGTCCTTAGACTTTTTGGCTCTGCTGAGACTGCTTTTCCATATGGAGGTGGAGTTTCTTTCCATCTGGATCTTGCAATTGTTAAAAGAAAAATTCCAATCAAATTTCAAACAGCTGGGCATTAAATATGAAGTCATGGTGGTATAGTGGGGAGCTAAGTTTACAAATGTGAAAAAGGGGAGTGGGAAACCATGGCTCTGTGCTCACCAAGTCATCTTCAAGATTCCAATTGGTTTCTGCCTGTGATAGGAGGTGCCAAGATTCCAGTGGCAATGAGGAAGCTGGATGACAACACCTATGAGTGCGTCTATGAGCCGAAAAAGGATGGGCGGTACATAGTCACCGTCTCTTATGGGGGTCATGAAGTCCCACGGTCTCCATTTGAAGTTAATGTTGGCCCATACAAGGAATCCAAGATTGTTGCTTATGGTCCTGGCTTGTATGGTGGCATGGTTGGAAAGCCGTGTCTCTTTACCGTGGAAACCAATGGCGAAACTGGATCTTTAGGTAAGAAATTCCCTTTTCTTGGAACTTTACCCTGAGATTTAAACTCTGAATGGGATCTTGAATAACCAACCTTTCTCTGTTTCCTCATTCAGGATTCAGCATTGAAGGCCCATCTCAGGCCAAAATTGATTGTCATGACAATGGGGATGGCTCTGCTGATGTTAGCTACCACCCAACTGCACCAGGAGAATATGCAGTGCATATATTATGTGACAATGAGGACATCCCTAAATCTCCATACATGGCCCAGATCAAGCCCAAGGATGACTCATTCCACCCTGACAAGGTAAAATTGTGGCACCACAGATCAATTGGATTAATAATTGAATTCTCAGTGGTTGTTATACCAATGGCACGATTCTGTAGGTGGAATGCACAGGACCTGGACTGCAGAAGACTGGACTGACGGCCTGTCGTCCAACTGAGTTCCACATCGACACCCGCAAGGCAGGGAAGGCTCCTCTGGAAGTGAGCATCCTAGATGGGGACTTCAAGCCAGTGGATCATCACCTCAAGGACAATGGGAATGAGACGTACAACTGCTACTACACACCCACTAAAGGGAACAAGCACAGTGTGTCCGTCAACTATGGAGGATTAGCTGTGAAGAATAGCCCATGGAGGTGCAGCATTGAAGAGCCCACCAATCCTGCCAAGGTACAAGTCTTTGGCCCCGGGGTAGAGAAGGGTGTCAAGTCCCAAATTCCTACTCACTTCAACATCGACTGCAGAGAAGCTGGACCTGGTATGGTTTGACTTGCCTTTCTTATCTAATTAATTCTCTTCTTTGTATGTTTCTCTTGTTGCTCTATAAATAATTCTTTTTTTGTTATTGCAGGGAATGTCCAGATAGCTCTGACAAATGACAAGGGACAGGATATCCCAATCCAAATCCATGACAATCAAAATGGGACTTTCAGCGTGGATTATACTGCCCCAATTCCAGGTCTACACACTTTGAATGTCCTTTATGCTGGACAGATCATCCCTCAGTGCCCCATCCGGATCCCTATTCAGCCTCATATTGATGTTTCAAAGGTCAAGGTTGAAGGACTTGAACCAAGTGAGTCTTTCCCTTTCAGGCCTTTTTTTCCCCCTTCATTTCTATTATTACCTCCTTAAGTTTGGTTTAGTGGGTGTGGGAGAAAACAACCTGTGATGGTTTGTCATATCTTTGACAAGTTTTCCATGGAATGCATGTACTATATAGAGGGTCCAGTGAACAGCCTTCAGCAATTTCACATCGCAACTCGAGAAGCCGGCAAGGCAGAGACTGCTGTTCGTATCGCATCCCCCACTGGACATCCAGTTCAGACCCACATCATCCCAACTTATGAGGGTTGTCTCGTGAACTTCACTCCCACGGAAGTCGGGGACCATAACGTGGACATCCGATTCGGAGGAGAGCCTGTGCCCCGAAGCCCCAAAAAGTTCACAGCCATTTCAGGGAGTGATCACACCAAGGTGAAAGCCTATGGCCCAGGTCTTAAGGAAGGGATCACAAACAAGGCAGCAGAATTCACAATCGATACAAGGGGAGCAGGTCAGGGTGGCCTGGGAGTCACAATTGAGGGCCCCTCAGAAGCTGCCATCAACTGCCACGATAACGGAGATGGAACGTGTGCTGTTGCCTATCTGCCGACTGCTGATGGAGATTATACAGTGAATATCACCTTCAATGACAAGCATATTCCAAACTCCCCATTTCAAGTCAAGGTTCATCCCAACAAGGATTTGAGCAAGATCAAAGTCTCTGGAAAAGGGATCCAGCCAGATGGTAGAGATGTCCTTCATGTAGGGTGTCCCTGGCACTTTCCAGCTAATACTCTGCATGTATCCCACTTCATGTTTGAAGAGCATGAAACGTGACTGCAACTATTTTTGCAGTGATTGGTCTGCTATATGTTCACAAACTGTGGTGTCATACCCATGCTGATGTCTGTAGGTAAACTTGATTCCCCTTGACCCTTTGGAAATTTTGAGGTGCTTTGAGCAAAAAATTAAACAAAAAATAAGGAGGAGACATAATAAATATATTTGAATTTGATTTTGAATCTTAAAAATATACTTTCTGAATTACAGATTTCAATTTTTATGGATTCTCATGAATGAGGTTCCCCTGTAGAGGCATAATAGTTCTGTATGCATTACTTTGCTACTGGTGCATATCTGACTTTTTATCTTTTGTGTTTCAACAGGAGAGTATTGTGTTCCTACCTGCACGGTAGATGTCGTGTGAATACACCTTTGTTTTAATTGAGAGTGTTTATTCTAATGCTTAGATGTAGGTACTACTCTATTCTAGGTACTGTAGGTACTGTTTGTTGTGACTGTTCTTGAAATTGCTCTACCAACTTACTGTTTGTATTTGATCAAATTTCGCTGTTTTTGCTACTTAGATATATATCCTAAAGACAGTAGCAGAAGTCCATCAATCTCTGTTTGTGTTCAGGCATCTTTGTGGACAGCCCGAGCGACATCATGGTGGATGCACGAGCCATTTCAAAGAAGTGTGATGCAGTGGTGCAGTGTCTCATCATGAGTCCATCTGGCCAGAAAGCAGAGTCCTCTGTCCATCCACTTGGAGATGGAACTTACAAGATCACCTACACTCCGATTGAGGAAGGTCAGTGCATATCAATGGATTAATTCATCTCAATCTGATGAATGGTAAACGGTAACATAATATCGGACTTTGCTCAGGTCCCCACTCCATTGAAATCCTCTATGATGGAATCCCTGTGCCAAAATCTCCATTTATGGTGAATGCCAAGAGAGGATGTGCTCCCAACAAGTGCAAGGCTTCAGGGCCTGGCCTGGAAAAAGGAATAGTGAATCAGATCAATGTGTTCACCATTGACACAAAAGGTTAGCATTTCACGGTTATTCTCTCAAATGGGTGTCTTGCAGTTATACCAATGGGAAACTTACTGTCTTACACTTCACAATTGCAGGAGCTGGCAACGGAGGCCTGGGTCTGGCCATTGAAGGTCCATCAGAGGCAAAGATGACCTGCAAGGATAATCGGGATGGATCTTGCACCGTCGAATATCTTCCCACAGAAGCAGGAGATTATGATGTCTCCATCAAATTTGCAGACACTCATATTCCTGGTTCCCCATTCAAGGCAAGCCTTTTCATCTCACAAATTACAGGAATATCATGTTCATGGCATAACAGTGCTATATTCATGGGTGATGCATTTCTATGTGCTTTTTCTTTGTACAGGTGCCAGTAGACTTCAAGGTTGATGAGAAGGCAGTAGAAATGGCTGGTCCTGGGATCGAACCAAACAAGTGCCGAGCCAACATCCCACTTCAGTTTGCAGTTGATGCAAAAAAATCTGGCAAAGCCCCCTTGGGAGTTGAAGTCTCATCTGACAAAGGTGGGAGTAGAGCTTAGTAGTTGTTTTTTTTTTAATATGCCAGTGATCAAAGAAGGCTGAAGCCAGAGCATGCATTAGCCAATCACTCATGCCAAATGCGGTTGTACATGTAGGGCCAATCCCGAAGAAGCCAGAAGTAAGAGACAATGGAGATGGTACATACAATGTCACATATCAGCCTCCACCAGAAGGTTCTCCCTGCAATGTTAAGGTCACCTGGGATGGCAAGGATATCCCCAAGAGGTATGTGCTAACCCCTGATCCAAGATTTCATTCATGTATAAAATTTCTCTGAAGGAATTGAAGAATGTGGTGTTTGATTCCATCAGCCCGGTGAAGATGAAGGTTTTGCCGACTTGTGAGCCAAACAAAGTGAAAGTCAGTGGACCCCTCCTGTCAAACAAGGGAATCCCAGCTTCCATCCCTGCTGAGATGGTCATTGATACAACTGAAGCCGGATACGGCGACCTTGCCGTCCAAGTTCTTGTGAGATCCTATTCTCTCCCAATCTCCTCCAATTAGAAAGAGATGTATCTTTATCATGATCATATCTGGGGATCTTGTTCTTGTGTAATTGGATCTAGGGTCCAGATGGAACACCCTGCAAGGCCAAGGTGATTGACAATGGAGATGGGACACACAAAGCCATCTTCACGCCTGAGGATGTTGGAGAGTACAAGGTTGATGTGAAATATGGGGGGAAGCCAGTGCCCAACTCCCCATTCTCCACCAAGGCATATGCCACTGGAAAGGTTGGTATTATCATTCAGTTATCTCTCCTGAGGGAGTTTTGCACATTGTCCATGAGTCCATCCATGTATGGACAGGCTGGCACACAAACAGGACAGTGATGGGGGGGATGTGCAGACTTGATTAATGGCATGGAAGAAAAAGCATGATGCTGATGGAAGGGAAGATAGGCAGAATCACCTTGAAACACCGGCCTGATCATCCGGTTTTCCCTCTTACTCATTAATATGAAGATCATGCTCCTCGAACTACCTATGCAGTAACAGGTTGGGCAAGAGAGAGGCCATGATTCTGCTTTTCTCTCCCTCTCTATCCATCTCCATAAAAGGACAAGGACATGCCCCATCATGGTCATTCCTCCGCATGCATTACATTTATAAACGTAGACCTGACCCACTTTTTCCATTATCATTTCTTTTCAATGAGTTACTGAGCATCTACCTTGGACAGCTTTTAGAAAAAGACATATTTGGCCATGCATCACCCCTAGTCACCAGATAACGCACAGTGCGAGATGTGGAAAGTCACCAGACCCCCTGTTGTCTAATGTGGACCACATGGATGCCCTGAAGGTAGAAACACCCATGAAACCATGCCTTGTCGTGTACATCTCCCCTCCTTCAAGGATGACTTCAGTCTAGTCAGAATGCTTCCATTGATCTAGTCACACTGGGCTCTTTGTGTGCACGGATTCATGTGTCTAGTGGAAGTTTACCACAATCTAGTCTTCATATACAATAGTGAGTCACTTATGAGGAGGAAAGTGAAAGTGATAGTGAAGGTCAGCAAAGGAGATGCGCGTGGTGTGGAAGAGACGTCACGTTTTCTTGTTGACCCCTCAGGCTGAGGAATGTCGCATCACTGAGGGTCTTCAAGAGACTCTTGCCATTGGGGAAGAGTACTGTGTCACCGTGAATGCCAAAAATGCCGGGACTGGGGCTGTTACCTGCCGGATTCGATCTTCATCGGGCAGGTGTGTGAATCATTTTCATCTCAACTTTGCAATTTTTCTTGTATAGAAAGTGGGTGGACTTCAATCATATCTTCCTAGTTATCAAGTGCTATTCATGTACATGTACAGGGTGTCCCAAAAAGACCTGGTCAATAATTTAAAATTTGTAATTTTATTAGCAATTTCCTAATAAAATAAATAAGAAAATCAGATAGAAGTACATAATTATAGGTTTTCTTGCTTCTCTAGGCTTTCTCATGTGATGACCTCCTTGAAGTTTCACATGGAAAATAGGCTTGATAGTTACAATTAGAGTTTCTGTATTAACCTTATATTCATGGTTCACCAAATCATGTACCTGCTTTGGACCTCAAGGATGTGGCATTCTGGAATCTGACTGGATATCTGAATAGAATTGATCTGAATTAAATTTGTCTGAAACTTAAGTTCAGTTAATTTTAACTGCTTGAACTCCTCATTTTATGATTTCTTCGTGTCAGCTTCATTATAGTTCCATCTATGGACATAATTGTATGAACATTTGGTACACACACTTTGCCCACACCACCAGGATCACCTTATGATTGCTGTGATTGTGAAGAAATTATTTGCCCTAGATAGGATTAATCCAATTTGAGATTTGATGGTCACCTGGAATGTGGTCAGTGTGGACTTTAAAATGTGTTCATTTCCAATCAGAATTTAGTCATTTGCCAATAAACCTCTTCTGTTTATTTTACTTTTATAAACATGTCCTTGGCAAAAGGAATGCTGAAGTGTGAATAGAGTGATGTCTCGGTTGAGCTTCTCTTCGTAATGGAAAAGTTGTGAGTTGCAATGTCTCTCATAGAGAGAAAAAAAGGAAGGGAATGTGCAGGTTGCCAAGGAAAACTTGTATGTAAAACTCAAGGTATTTCTCCATCATGATGATGAATGCTTGGGCTCTCATGCTGCCCGTGCAAAGAACCACAAGGGGATGGGATGGTTATCCCCTCCTACTGAAAAGTAAAGTGGGTAGACCTAAACAGAACACTAAGCAAGTTTCACATTTTCTCCACAACTAGAAAGTTCCATCTTGGTGAGGGTGAATCTAATTGAATTTTAAATATTAAATTCTGAGAGTAAGACTCACGAGGGGATTGATGGAAACAGTCAAGTAATAAATCCGCCTACATCTAGAGTCTTATGGCTTTACTTTTTCTTATAGTGATCTGGACATCGATATTGAGGACAATGGAGATGGGACTTTCAGCATCTATTACACATGCAAGGACACTGGAGAGTATAGCATCAGCATCAAGTTTGGTGGTCAACCTGTTCCACAAGGACAATACACCTTCAAGGTGGGCCCTCTCATTTGTCACTTCATACTTGACAGCTCAACTCAAATGACTCCATTTGAGTGGTCTGTGTGTACAGCCCACCTGGCACAAATGCGTCCCAAAGATATCTCAGAGATTACTTTTAGGGACGTATCAGGGTCATGAAACGTCTGGGTGTGGGTACATCCCAAGGAACTAGTCCCAATCCTCAAGGACATCCCTGGAATGTGTTTGTGTTGTGTTAGGTCTCGATGAGGCTGTATCGAGCCGAGATTCCCTTGACTTTTTAAAGCTTGTGCTCAGAATTCTAACCAGAATAGACATACCAAAACTCCAGCATCATATTGGAAACTATTGCTCAATTACAAAAACTTACCCAATATTGTTAACTTTCTCTAAATTTTTAGGTACACTATATGAAAATCATTACTTTCCTTTGCACAAAACTGAACTGTGATGAAGGTGGTTGAAAAGACCTGAGGCTGGATGTCAAGGTACCAAGGAGACATTTTCTGTCATTCTTCTATCAAGGTACCAAGAAGACATCTTCCATCAAGGTCATGCACCTAGAAATTATGCCTCCTGGGCACATATTCCAGATGCATAAATCAGGTGCAATTCCAACTGGTTTTGGGTCTAGCATGTTGGAGGAGGAGACATTCATCCTTACCTTTTACAGACTGCATCTGCCCATTGCATTCCGAATCACATGCTACTTCGTGTGTTTTGAAGTATTGCAATATTGCCTGCAGTAGGAAAATGTCTTAAAGACATCTCATCTGTGGATGTATGAGAGGGTGAAACATTCAATCTGGAATGTAATTGTCACATGACACTTTGGATTGATTGCTTCCCCATGTCAAATATCCTCAGGTGAGATTATGGTTATAATTATGATCATGCCTACAATGACTTAGTGTCGTTGTAGGCAATATTGCAATACTTCATATGGCATTTTTTCTTCGAAAGAATAATTTGCATCAGTGACATCATACTTAAGTGGCATGTGATGTAATGTAACCCAAAAGCCAACATGACCTTTAACACATTGAGGACCGGCACCCTACACATAACGTAGATTTGAATCATGCGTATAAATAAATACAAAGCAATAAGAGCGCAGCTGACAGTAAAAAATTGTACTAAAAGGAACATCAGAATGTCTACAATCCACACAAACATATCTCAGAACTAAATAGTGCACAGAAGGAATCACAGTAGCGTGAAACTACACCCTACAAGAAAACGCAAATTTGCTTCCCCCCGTCCTCATTGTAAAATGGAATCTCCCTTCTCACACGTCTGACTTGTTCCCTGTGCACAGAGGACATGAATTCCGGGTGCATGACCTCGATGAGGTAAATCCTTGATAATCATAAGTCAGGTTTTTTTTTTACCAAGCAGAATTGTGATTTTTGCACCACGGTCCTTGAAAACTGGAGAAAGTGAAGATTATCGGGCCCTTCCTGAAATTCACCGAGTAGCACTCTCCATGATGATGCTGAATTGGCATGAATGGACGGACCTCCAACCTATTCATGTGGTTGGAGGTCTGAGCCTTCAAAAGTCGAGGGAATCTCGGCTCGATGCAACGAACGGCGTGCTGCTGACAAGGGTGAGAGATGTTCCTGTGATATCCCTGAGCGATGGGGACTGCTTCCCTTGGGGTGTCTACCCTTTGCCGGACGTCTTTATGGCCCTGAGGTGTCCCCAAAAGTCACACGTGGGACGTTTTACTTATGCGTCAGTGGATGGCTCCGGGACGAGAGTGGTGTGCCCCTGCGTCCAGATATATCTATGGCCCTGAGGTGTCTCAGGAGTTATCTCTGGGACTTCTTACTTGTCCCGAGGGGACATATCTGGGACATCTTTGGAATGTGCTTGTGCTGTGTGGGTACAGCCATCAGGAGTGAGATTTCAGATAAGAGTCTTAAATAATTGCCATTGGCATGAGAAGATAAAAAATGGCTTCATTGTGGGGTAGGACAATCTCTGATCAACTTTTTTTTTTTTAGTCCTTGATGACTTTGAGATTCGCCAGTCACGCGGGACTCCTCGTTTATTATTAATTATGCATGAGAGCCATTGCAAGCTTTTATTTAAGCTTGCAGTTTTTTAATTTCTTCCCGTCCCCAAGAGATTTCATTTTAAAAAAGTGTGTGTGATTCATGCACTCAGTTGAAAATCTTGTAGCGGCTTTGAACTGAGCAGAAGGCATCTTTTTGTGTAGATAATGGCAAGGAGTGATCACGACGCTCATAAACATAGGTGCTCATAAACATAGGTGCTCATAAACATGGATGCTCATAAACATATCACAATGCTCTTTTGGATGCTAATGCTCTCTTTTCATAATCGTGCTGCCATCCATAACAAGTCTTTGGTCTTCATGGACAGTTATGGAAGCGAGCGGGAACGGCGTTCCCGTACTTTTTCGGTGTGGGAACGCCGTTCCCACAAGTTCGTCTTGGAGGGGGAACACCACACCCATGCTTAGAACAGTAAACTTTAAATGTTACTTACGACGCGGGTTTCTGCAATTAATGGCGATCTACTCCAAGTATAAGGCGGTAATTTTAAAATTTTAATTTCAATTTTTTTTTTAAATAACCGAGACGTCTGACGTGTTGGAGCGGCGTTTTAAACCGTCCCCTTACTTCTAGATATCGACTTTCATCACTGCTATTAGAGCATCTGTAAGCGACTCCGACTGGGAGTGAATCATGGTGGCAAGGCAGCAGCTGTGTGCAATATGTTCAACAGCGTATCGGCGGTGGGTCTGACGCCATTCTGCTCGGGAAGGCTTTGAGATGTCTTGGTCGGCATGGGCGATCACTTTTTGCTTGCGGTACGGTGCGATATCGAGATATCGCGGTGGTATCGAAGCCGTGGAGAAGCGTTAGCGATGCCCTTATTAAGCTGGTGTTGACCGTCGACTCAAGGTGAGTCGGCTCGTTCCGGCCGAACAAAGGGAGGGGCTGTGATGGGTTCGGCGCTCCAAATGAAGCGGGGAGGGAAGAATACAAGGAGACAGTTTGTTGTGGTTTCGGAATTCGCGGAGTACGTGCAGTATGCGTCCCATTAGGGCTTCGAGACATTTTGAGTATGCAAGTCGGGCAGAGGGCTCGCGTGGAAAGTGGAGGAGGAGGGAAACGCCGCCCTTGTGCGACTCCGCAAATTCCATGCATAAGGAGAGGAAGGTGGGGGGGGGGGGGGGGAAGGGGGGGGGGGGATAGGAGGAAGGTTCAGGTTGACATGAAGCTTCTAAAAATAATCTCATCACTTGCTACCTCGGATCTAGCCCCGGCCTCGGCGGCTTCTCTCCTGTTTCCACTGGATTTGTTTTATTTTTTTTGTTTTGCTCTCCCTGGCGATGGTATCGGTCGGGCTCTCTGGCGTTGGTTGTGTCTCCATCTGTTATCATGAGGGGGTGGGGGGTGGGGGTGGTATATCGGCGACGACGGGGAGTTTTGGCAGGGTCGTTCCCCACCATCGCCCGTGATTAGTTTCTAATGGGTCTCCTGGGGGGGAGGAAGGGGAAGGAATGGGAGGGGCGGGGAAGGGTGACGGGGCATTTAACCGGTCGGCTTCACTCGAGACCTCGCGGGAACCTCAAGGTTTCTTGCTGGGGTAAGTGAGGTCCAGGGATCACATGCGCCTCGAAATAACCTAGCTGGGGGACTCCTTTTTTTTTGGAGTCGGGAAATGATTTCTCTGCATGGGGGGTGAGGGGGGGGGGGGGGGGGGGGGGGGGGAGGGGGGGGGGGTTCTAGGCTTTCTCATGTGATGACCTCCTTGAAGTTTCACATGGAAAATAGGCTTGATAGTTACAATTAGAGTTTCTGTATTAACCTTCATTCATTGGTTCACTTTTACTCGAGATTGCGAATAAATAAATAGCCGTCCCCGCGTGACAGGGAGTTCGTTTCAGGTCGGTGAGGAAGGAAACCAGATGTTTTTGAGCGGATGCAAAGAACTGTTCGGTTTTGGCTGTATCTTTCCGCTCGAAGATGTTGAAAGGTGACGACAATGGTAACGGTGAAGGTAATTCATGATGCATATGCGATGAAAAACCCTTTCGGACTGCGGGAATCCGCCGAGGTTTCCCGATAGAAGGGAAAAGTTAGGGTTCCGCCCTTGGAATTTTTGCAGCCTGTCTGATGGGATGAAGGGAGCAAAGGAGGGCGCTTGCGCTCTTTGTGGGTGCAGAGGACAGATCGGACCGAAGGACTACCTACCTACACCTTCATTCTTTTTCTGTCCCCCGCCATCTGCCGATTTGGTGTCTGGCGGGTTTTCCCTTGGTCGACGCGGTCGGGTGTGGGTGTCGGTCGGTGTCGGGCGGTGTGTCGTCGCGGTCGGTGTCGGGAGTCGTGCTCGTTTATCTCTTTTTTGTTCTGTGTAGAGACTCTGGATTCCGAAGTGCGATTACCCGAGCCCCTTAGTAGAATCCGGTGAAATTTCATTCCTAAGTAGGTCCACCCCGATCGGCTTTTCGCCTTTCGAGAGAGAGTCGAGACTTGGAGAGTCGGGCCACCGAGAGAGGTGAGAATCGCTCCGGCGTCGCGTTTCGCCCAGGAATGCATGCTTGAATGAATAATGAATGAGTGAATGATGAGGTGCATAATGCGAGTGAGGAAGTGTGGGTGACAAGCAGACAAATGAGGTATGGATGAGACGTGACAAATGATCCCATGTAATGATTCAATTAGAGGCCTCTTTAGCCTCGTCGCGTGCCCCCTCCCCCCCATTGTGACGGATGACTGTCCCTCCTCCGCCCTTCCGTCCCTCCAGCGCTGCTCGTCATCCACTTGGGCGGTACCCTCCGAGGATGGGAGGTATCCCCCTAGGATGGGAGGTATCTCCCGAGTATGGGAGGTACCTCCCGAGGATGGGAGGATATCAGCCGTCGTGTGTGTCTTGTCGAGTGGAGGACAAGGACCTGGGCGGGTTTCTTTCTTCTCCCTCTGTGTACATCTTTGCACAGATGGCTTTCGGCTGACGTCAGGGAAAGCGAGGAAATGTTCCATTTTCTTTCCGCGTACTTGCATGCTTCATTTCACCTGTTGCCCTTACTTCCAGTAACGTTTTCGCTCTTTCCATTCCCCACGCAAGATGTTCTTTGCAGAATCCTAGAGTTTACAAGAAACCTCTCACGAGAAGGGCTTGAAAAGGCTTGAAAGGGTGGTTGTAAAGTAGGCTGCTCGCGACGATGCAGGAGTGAATTAGGTGAATTGGCCGGAGATTTTCATTAATTGATTTACAGAATCCAAAATTCGCTCAAAAGCCGCAGTGCAAGCGATGAAATTATTCAAGCTGCAGAAAACGAGAAATGTGACTCAAGTTCTGGAATCTGTTGAACCCGTTGTCTCTTTTACGAGTCGGGAGTTCGGGGGGTAGGGTGGGGGGGGGGGTTGAAGGCTTAAAAGCCGACAGTTGGTGCCGGTTATATAACGGAAGGTGCAAAAAGGATGGCGTAATTCCCATTTTTATGCGCTTTTCTTCTTTTCTTCATCATCTTGCATCAGATTTATAAATGCCAGATGAGACAAGAAGCCATAAAAGCCGACAGATGCCCTCGTAAATGGCCGAAGTGGAGTACAAAAGCACCCAATTCGCCCCCTGCCCCTCTTGCCCCCCCCCCCCCCCCCCCCCCCCCCCCCCCCCCCCCNGGTCTAGACACATGTTAACCTCCGTATTCCACTTCACCGTGCCGAGGAAGCCCCCCCCCCCCCCCCCCCCCCCCCCCCCCCCGCCCGCCCCCCACCCCGTGGGATCGCAGACCTTGCGTGTCGATGACTGAAATGTGGAGTCATCATGCATTGGCACGTGGCTCTCCGGCTTACAAAGAGGGGGGGGGGGGGGGGGGGATTCGTCAGGGTTCTATTTCAGAGAAGGTGAAAAGGGAAATATGGCTTGGGGTGTCTCGGGTGTCTTCCTTCCTTTGGATAGACTCCAGGTTGGACTGCTGGAGATTGCGGGATGGGAGAGGAGGGGAGGGGGAGAGGGGGGGGGGAGGGGAAAAAACGTTATCGGCTTGGAATCCCTTTGTGTCTTTCCCTCGACACTGCCGTTCTTTCAGACCTTGCTGGCTAATCTCGTCGTGTTCTCTTTCGGGGCGTCGGGCATTCCTGGCGTACCTGGTGATATAATACGAAATGAAGTGAGAAAAATAATCGAGATGATAAAAATTATAAATAGAAGACAATGCAACCGGGACGCTTTACTCTTATCGGAGAGTAAACTCTCGCCTGTCATTCAGGCTCCAACGGCTCATGACTTCGCGATAGAGGAGGAATATGTCAAAGGAACCGCGCGAGGGGGAAGGAAAATTAATGGAGTTCTTGATTCCTGGGGAAAAAAAAAAACCGGGAAGGTTTCCGTTTCCGCCCTGAATCTCGTGCCTGGGAAGGAAGTGGAACTCATGAGTCATGAGTCTCATAACTCATAATCCGCGGAGCGGGGCTTTGCGTGAGATGAGCTGCCAATTTCCCTTCTCCCGGCTTCGCCCGCGCCGAATCTCATCAATATTGATGAGTGCCAGGTGGGAACAATCGGGTCTGGTTTTCTTCCAAGATCCCCAGAATCATCACAGGTAGCAAGCGCCTTCCCAGGTAACAGGCTCCAGGTAGCAGGCTCCGCGTTCGCCATCCATCATGTTCACGAGGGGGAAAAGAGAGAGAAAAAAAACGGTTGTACGTGCTTGATGCAATCGACGAGACGGCATTTCAACCGGCCTGTTCCCTGTCACCAGGGGAGAGACCGGGGAGAGACAGGGGAGAGACCCTGCCACTCAGACGCACAGACACTGACTGAGTCGGTGATATCCAGGTCACCCAACTCGACCTCCTTCGTTCCGCCCTCCCTTTCCCTTTTTCGGTCATTCTTCTCCTCTTCGCCCGTTGCGTCATCCTCCGGATCTCCCCGCCGCATCACGATCGATTTCCATCGGAACCTGCCGCCAGCCCCCCGCGGGCGTGTCCCGTCGGTTTTCCTTCTCCTCTGTGCACATACGCACACTTGCTCTCCGAGCATCGACGAGCGTGCGTGCGTGCGTGCTCTCCTTTGTGCCCTGTACCATGCACGTCCGGGACTCTTCGTTCCTCAAGGGACAGATCCGGACGAACCCCCACGCGTTTCGTGCCAATTGCCACTCGAGAATGCCGATCGAGAAGTCCCGCTCCTACCGTCGCAAGATCGCATTCCTCCCGCCGGCGGAGCACGGCGGGGCACCCGTCTTCCCGTACCACCACGGTGCCGATACCTACACGTACTACTTTCGATGGCCCCCATGGTACGAGGTGAGAGACCCCGGATTGGCTTCGGCTTGGGCTCTTCGATCCCGCATTCCAAATTTTATTTGTCGTATGAAATATTTCTTCCCCGGTGGAATATCGTGTCGTCATTGCGGGGGAACCACTTGCGGCATGTTCAAAGAAATATTTCAAAACGCATGAATAAACGAAAAACGGGATTGAAGAGGCTCACCTTTCCCCGATCTCATCATCACCTCGCCCCCCCCCCCCTTCCCCCCCTCCCCCACCCGCTTCTTGGGTTCCATCTCATCGCGATGGAATGGAATGCTAAATTTAGATTCCACCCGACTCTTCACACCCTCGTCTCTCTCTCTTCTCTGTGCTTTATCGCCGGTTCGTGAGTTTCTCGTCCGAGGCGGAAAATGGAGCTTCGGTGCTCCATGGCTTACGGCTATGCCGTGACCCACGTGGAAGTGGTGCCCACGTTCCGTGAATTGCTCCGTTTTCAATCCGTCACCCCACTTAACATTCCTCCTACCGGTACTTTCCATCCGTCCACAGTACGATTGGACATCTTCCTTTTATTCCCTTACGGCCAGTGAAGAAAGTAGGTGGGAGCGAGTGAGAACGGCGTTCCCATGATTTTTTTTTTTTCCGGTGTGGGAACACCGTTCCCGAACTTTTAACTTTTAAAAAATTTGTCGAGCAACAACAATCTGCGCCAAGTAAGTTTTGACAAAGTAAATGAATAAATAGAATAATTAAATAAAATCACGGCCTGACGGAAAGGCCCGACCGGCGCTGGCGTTCGATGCGACAGCCCTCGTTTTTACCGTTCCCACACTTCCGAGTCGACTTTCATCACTGCTTCCATCAGTGAGATAAGACCGAGCCGCGGACAAAAAAAGAGCCTGGTTTTGAGATGAGGGGAAAAACGTGTACTTCCAGGCGGCGAGAGAGGAGTCGACAACCTCCATCAAGCAACGAATCACCAGCACAACCACAACCCAGCAGAGTCGGCACATCAGGGAGGAAAGAACCGAGGAAACCGAGGAAAGGGAATACCGACCGGTCGAGCTACGGAACATCCCGCTTCCTACCACTGGAGGGCACGTGCTAGGTGAGTCGCCCGAGGGGGAGTCGCCTGTGGAGGTGGTCGCCCCTGGAGGTCGCCTAAGTGATTTTTTGTCGATCGCAGCTGAGGTGAAGATGCCTAGCGGGAAGGTTGACAAGCCTGTGATCAAGGACAACCGTGATGGCACTGTGAGTGTCCGGTACGAACCCCGTGAGGAGGGACTTCACGAGCTCCATGTTAAGTACAACGGAGAGCATGTTCAGGGTGAGGGAATGCGGTGAGGGTGGATGCGGGCTCCTAAATGTCACATTTCCGGTTTCACCGTGTTTTGCTTTTGGGCAGGGTCGCCGTTCAAGTTTCATGTGGACTCGATCAGTTCTGGGTATGTGACGGCTTTCGGGCCGGGGTTGACCCATGGGATCTGTGGGGAACCGTGCAATTTCACCATCTCGACCAAGGATGCTGGAGCAGGTAGCAGCCTTCTAAGGGGACGCGGTAAAGGACACAACACACATGGAGATCTCTCATCCACACTTTTCTTTCCTGACCTAGCTTTTATCCCTTCCCTCTTGCTTTCTGTCTCTTTTTCTCCCCCTTTTGATGTCTTCCGCTGTTCTTGCACGGGATGTAAAGTGTGAGCCGTCTGTCGCGCACCAAGTGGGTTGGGTTTTCGTGCGGGGAAGAATGTAACGACTGAAATTTGGTCGTTGGGTCGATGCATTGAGTTCAATGAGAACATTTTTTGGAAAATTCCTTGAGGAATTCTCATCGAGAAAGTTTCTCACTGAAAGAATGACCGAGGAATTTATATTTTAAAAAATGTTCATCCGAATTTAAATGTAAAAAGTTTTACATTTTCATGGGAAAAAGTCAAATTTTAATTAAATGTTTTTTTTTTGCATAGAAATGAACTTAAATGAAGATGAAGGACTTGGAATTTGAATTAAGGTTATATTTGATAATTTTACCATGAAGAAATTAATATATACTTTTTTATTTCTCAAGGGAAAATTTTATTCATAAAAAGATGTATTTCTCACTTGAGCATCTGACTGAATGAAATTATACTTTCTACATGGTGCATTAATTTTCTCTCATACTTTACGCATCCTTTGCCTTTCCTAATCCCTAAACTCCTCCCCCCACGGCTGTGGCATGAAATTTGGTGGTTGTGTGATGTGGGTTTTCACCCTTGTAACTGAGTGTGCTGTGTATTTCCATTTCCGTTCTTCAGTCCTGGGAGTCACGCTTTTCGCCTGTCCCTTCCAGGAATGGGTTTCCGCCTCAATGGGGTATGGGCATTGAATCATTAACTGGGTGAAGGAATCTGAGGAATACCCACATTTCTCTATCTCTGGATTCACATTCTCATTACGTTCTGCTCTGTCATGCTTTCCGTCATCAATCTTTTCCATTCCTGTTTCCTTCCATCTGCCAAGGCCATTCCCCTTCTTCCTTTCTCTCTGTCATGTTTAGGGTTGACACTGTAAAGAACTTTATGGGATTGCTCCTGTTAAGACTTCTTCACTTCACTCCACCAATCTTAATCCCACGATTCGCTGCCAGTGTTGTGTTCTCTCCCCATCCCCGATGTTTTATTTTTCGCTCATAGGTCTACCATGCACTTATTGGCATTCAGATTGCACACATAAGCCTACCTGTAGTTACTTTCATGAGAATGCATGAAAGTGGTTTCAGAAAGTCGTAGTTCTTACAGTGGAAAAAAGCATGAAATTAGTAGACTTGATCCAATGAAAAGAGGGAAATTGCTTGACTTCAGTCGTTCCTCCCATCGTGTCACGACAGGAGGCCTGTCACTGGCCGTCGAGGGTCCAAGCAAGGCCGAGATCAGCTGTCACGACAACAAGGATGGGACCGTCTCGGTCTCTTTCCTCCCCACTGCTCCCGGAGAATACAAGGTTTCGTGCAAATTTGGTGACAAGCATATCAAAGGCAGCCCCTTTGTGGTGAAGGTGACTGGAGAGGGAAGAAAGAGAAACACCATCAGTGTTGGCTCCAGCAGCGAAGTCCCGCTTCCTGGGAAGGTCACTGAGAAAGACGTCAAGAGTCTTAATGCTTCCATCACGGCTCCATCGGGACTGGAGGAACCTTGCTTCCTCAAGAAACTTAGCAATGGGAATCTTGGTGCGTGCACTTTCAAATTTAAAGGTTCAGAAACATTTATCCAAGATGTTTGTGGGTGGATCAGTTGAATTTTTGGCTTTTATTTGGACACAGGGATCTCGTTCACTCCTCGAGAGGTGGGAGAGCACAAGGTGGCAGTGAAGAAGATGGGGAAGCACATCCACAACTCCCCATTCACCATCCATGTTGGAGAACTTCAAGTTGGAGATGCCAAGAAAGTGCATGTGAAGGGCCACGCCTTGAAGGAGGGGAAGACGCACAAGGACAACGAGTTCACCATCGACACGCGTCATGCTGGTCTCTTTCGCTTTGCACTGTCCCCTGTTCTAATCATTCTACAGAATCTGTTTCATTTCTGCCTGGATTTTCTCTGAATTTAGGGTATGGAGGCCTGTCATTGTCCATCGAAGGACCTTCCAAGGCTGAGATCAAGTGCAAGGAGAAGGAAGATGGGACCCTGGGTGTGTCTTACCAACCAACTGAGCCAGGATATTATATCCTCAATCTAAAATTTGCTGATCATCATGTGGAAGGTTCTCCTTTCACCGTGAAGGTATGCCTGGAGAAAATGATTTTTTTATCAATGTTTTATTATTATTCATTTTCATTTTAATATTGTAATTACCTGTTTTAATTTTCTTACTCAGGTGACCGGTGAGGGGTCAAACAGGCAGACAGAGCGCATCAAGCGGGAGCGTGAAGCCGTCCCCATCACTGAAGTTGGAAGCCAGTGTCGTCTCACCTTCAAAATGCCAGGTGAGTTGTTTTTCTTACAGGATTCATTCAGATAGGCTCAGGTCGTGTCAGCACTATGAATGGATTGTGGATACTGTGACCCAATGGCCATTGCAGATCGAATGTACTCCATCGAGCATGGTCACTTCCCAGGGGATCGCCGGCCTTCTTTAATCAGAACCTCTGTCCCTGGTGATTCTTGTACCCTCATGAATATCATAACGTTTCACAACCAGACAGTGCTGTGCTTTCTCTTCCACTCATTTCTTTGAACATAATCTCCATTTCACCGATCTGAAGGACTCATGCAGTCCTTCTTAGCTGATCAGAATTTTGCATGGCTGGGCTTCCACAGTTATTCTTGCTTATTTCAATTATGTTTGCATGAATATACATTTATTCATGAGAGAGACATGTCTTAATTCTAAACCTCTCTCAAATAAAGAGAAACTCTTAATTTGCCCAGTTTTTATTTTTTTTGGGGTGAAAAGCATTTTGGTTGCAGTTCTCCCCTGCACTTTTCCTTACAGGATATGCAAGATTTCTGCCTGTAGGTTTAATAATTTTGTGGTCATCTCTTCTTAGGGATCTCTGCCTTCGAGCTGACATCTGTGGTGACATCGCCAAGTGGAGTGGCAGAGGATGCTGAGATTAACGAAGTAGAAGAAGGCTTTTATGCTGTCAACTTTGTGCCTAAGGAGCTTGGTGTGCATACTGTGTCAGTCAAATTCAGGGATCTCCATATCCCAGGTAAGTGCTGGGACCAAACTACTCTATCCCCTTTTAGTTGGTACTATCATCACATTGTAGTGTCTTGGATTAGTGATGCAGCTGAACTCATACAGTTTTGTTTGGAATGGCTTCTAGGATCTCCGTTCCAGTTCACCGTGGGTCCCCTTCGGGATGCCGGAGCCCATCGTGTTCATGCCGGTGGACCCGGTCTGGAACGAGGTGAAGTCGCTTCACCATGCGAATTCAACGTGTGGACAAGAGAAGCTGGAGCTGGAGCTCTGGCCATCTCTGTGGAAGGGCCTTCTAAGGCCGAGATAGATTTCAAGGACCGAAAGGATGGTTCTTGCTACGTTGCTTACACCGTCAGCCAACCGGGCGAATATCGAGTTGGGATCAAATTCAATGACATGCATATCCCTGATTCCCCATACAAGGTCTATGTCACACCCCAGATGGGAGATGCCAAGAAGATAGAGGTTGGCCAGTTCCCAGATAACATCCAGCACGTCAACAAGCCTGTTGCCTTCATCATTACTAAGAATGGAGCCAAGGGGCAGCTTGATGCCAAGGTGAAGCAAGCAGTCCTTTACTATTTTTTATGGTTCAGTGAAGCCATTGTATATGATTCAAAGAAAATTACAGGACTTAGATATGCTATAAAAATAACTGATTTAAGTTATTATTGGAAGCTTTACTTGAAATTGTCTTGTAGAATCACTTCTCAATTCCTTTGGAATGATTTTGCTGGATTTTTTGGGGTTTGATAGACTTCTTCCCTCTCAGTAATTCCCAATGTGATTCAGTATTTCTAGGGTTAATGAGTTTGCATCATGCCACAATGAAAGGCAATGGATTATAAAAAATGTAATTCTTGTTTCTTTCTGAAGGTGGTTGCCCCGAGTGGCTCTGAGGATGATTGCTTCCTGGCTCCCCTGGATGATGATGCTTATTCTGCTCGGTTCTTGCCAAAAGAGAATGGGATTCATCTTATTCATGTTCGATTGAATGGTGTCCACATCCCAGGGTCTCCATTCAGACTTAGGGTTGGTAAAGATGAGGCTGATCCAGCTGTTGTTCAAGCCACTGGTCCTGGACTTGCCACTGTCACTGTTGGTCAGTTCCCTGCCTATGACTTCTATAAAATGGAATGTTATAGGAAATTTTTCAAAGGCCATTTTACTTGCATTTGCAGGCCATAAGACGGACTTCATCGTGAACACCTGTGCTGCTGGGTCTGGAACATTGGCAGTCACAGTTGATGGACCCTCTAAGGTCTCCATGGATTGCACCGAGGTGCCAGAGGGTTACAAAGTGCGCTATACACCTCTCTGCCCAGGAGATTATTACATCAGTGTCAAATACAATGGATGTCACATTGCAGGCTCTCCATTCAAAGTCAAGGCTACAGGTCAGTGACATGGAGTTTCGTATTATCACCCCATAGCTTGATGCATGTCAGATTTCATTGACTTTGATTGTTGACATTTCCACAGGACAAGCTATCACTGACCAGGATATTCAGGAGACATCATCTGTCGTAGTGGAAACCACTCCCAAGCAATCCAGGGAAAGAGATGATAGTCGGACCATCATGCCACGCTTTTCTTCAGATGCTTCTAGAGTCACTTGCAAAGGCATGGGGCTGAAGAAGGCATATATGCACAAACAGAACACATTCAGTGTCCAGGCTGATGATGCAGGTTAGTAATCCTCTTCAATCACTATGAATAGGTCTGCTGGTAACAAAAGGTGTGATAAGATATAATACCTATTCTGCTTACTCTCTCTACAGGGCAAAATGTTCTCTACGTGGGAGTGATTGGACCTAAGGGTCCATGTGACGAAGTCTTCGTCAAGCATGTCGGACGCAACAATTACAACGTCAACTATGTGGTCCACGATCGAGGAGACCACATTGTGATTGTCAAATGGGGAGATGATCACATCCCAGGGTCCCCATTCAAAGTCGAAGTCCCATGAATACGCCCAACTTTGGCTTTTTTCTTTCTCTATTTGTCTTGTTCTTTCCTTTTAAGTTATTCAGCCCAGTATCCAGAAAGAGCTTCAATCAATTATGATGAGCAGTGTGTATGATTTTCACGTGCAACGAGAGAGTGATCATTTATTGTTCATTGTAGAGTGCTGTTAAATGTTTATAATTATTCTCATTTCTTTCTGCCTTGAATCTCTGTTTTGTTTTAGTCCTATAAACACTACAGAAAGGGACTGGAAATGATTGGTGCTGTGCTCTCTTCCCCCAATGATGGGCAGCTATAATTGACAAGTTGCAACCCTGTGCCTTGTCTTTTTTTTTGGAACCCTCTGTACAGATGATGTCTCTCTTTCCCCTTCTTCAAACTAACTGTGCCATGCCATGACCTACTAGTAGCCATTTTCCCTTTGTCTTTGTCTTTCATTATCACCATTGGTTCCTAGAATACCCTCCGTCCCTCAAGCCTCTGGACTTTTGCCACATAACACGTGACAGGTTCAATAATGGATAGCATTTTGTTTCAATTTGGTTCCTGCATTAATAAAAAGGTCCAATCTCAACCCAGGTATCTTCTATTTTCATGGCAGAGAGAATGAGGATGAAACATACACAGCAAACAAAAGATCTGAGATCACACCTGGGCTCTTGTGAAAACCTCCTTCAGATGGTCAGTCGCTCACAAGCACATGAAGCACTCAGGCATACTCACAGGTACTCCATGAGTGTTTTCATACGCACAGATGCAGGCATTCCGGATTCATGCAACCATTTCACCTTCTTCTCTCTCTTCGGTAGTCACTGCAGCGCGGATGTAGAGCACATTGTTGCAACGAATGAACACTTCACCAAGAGTCCCAGTTGCAGCTCCATCAATATATTCCTCTACTTTCTCCAACTGGAAAAATTATATAATCTCCAATTACTTTCCATATAACTTAGCAAATCAGCTTCATTTCAGTTTCTGGCTGACATCCCAACAGAAAGTAATAAGCATAAACTTAGAACTTGGAACATGAACACCCAGGTGTTTGCCAGAGGCCAAAATCAATATCAACCCAAAAGTTTTGAGTTAGCATGCCTCTTTGGCACAGCATTAAATGAAATTAATTTTAGTGCATATTCTATGAAGAGACAGTAAGAGATTAATGTTTTGGTTTGGAGTTTTCTTCTCATCCATTGAATAAAAATTTGCTGGTTCTTACAACCTGCAATTTGAGAGTCCCCCCAAAATGAGCACTCCATTGCTTTGGGCTGTCTGCTAATTGTAAATCTGGCATTAAAGTTTCACATCAAGTAGGTTAGAAAATTGGATGCATACAATGGCATTTGTCAGAAATAAGTGTCACATGATTGTATTTCCTCACAGCTCATTATCTCCTTTCTTCATTAACACAATAGATGGAAATATCTGAATGAGTTACATTTTGGTGCTGCTCTCCATCCAGTGGTAAGCAAGAGGAAGAGGAATAGAAATATGCACAATATTTTATGATTCTGAGGTTCTTTTGTACATCTCAAGGACTCTCTACTTTTACACTAACCAAGCAACTCCTCAATTCTATTTAAAATCAGTTGTTCATAATAAACATAAGCTTTCTTCAGTTGGTACTAAAGTTGCAGTGATAAAATGAGTGCCAGTACTTCAGTCAGAAAAATTTTTTAAGAACTATGGATGAGTAACAGCACACCCAGCAGTGACATTACAGCGATATTTATCAGAGGAATTTCAATCTCAAGCGCTTCAAAAATTATTAATTCTCTTGAAATAAGGGACAGATTCAAAACAGCAACACCGACTCATGCTACATCACAAAATAATTGGCTGACGTTTATGGTTTCCTCGTGTCGAAAAATTCCGCCTGAACTCCTCCCTCAACACCGACCTAATGATTCCAGACATACTAGAATACTCGTGCTCTGCTTGGCCTTAGTGGGTCCTTCACTCCCGTTCCTTCGAGTGCCAGAAGGCGGGATCACCCATCGGCAAAACAAAGACAGCATGCTCACGACATTCAGGGTCTTCCACTGGAAAAAGATGCAGCACCTCCTGGTGTCTCTTTATAGCATTCAACTACGTAACCGCAGCTTTTGTCGTCTTCAGGAGCAGCATGAACAGCCTCCTTAATGGGTTCGCAGAAGCGAGAGAAAGTAGCGTGACAGACAATCGAGCACCCCCCATGCGGGCCGATCAGATCACGATATTTAATCAACCAAAGGATTTACGGCATGGACCTTCGAGCTCGTATCTCCCTCAGCTCCCTCATCACGCCTCCGGAGTGTCGATGGCAAACCATCCAATGGTCTCACTGCCACTTTTATCATCAGTCCCTGATAGACTATTTGCAGAGGATTGGAACGATCTCGATTCCAACGATGCCATAACAAATCGTCACGAGCTCAGGATGCAGTCGGTTGGATCGTATCAAAGGTCGGAAAGTATTAACGGGCACAATTTACACGACCGAAGCAACTAAATTAAGGCATGGTAAATTCGATAAAATAAATTTTTTTTTTACATATACTTCTAACTGTCCGAATGCCCAAGGTTTCACGAGCAAGAAAGGGGCTTTATCACACCGCGTTTGGTTTAGAGAATATGCATCATATTAGACCGTCTCGGCTCCAACTGAGTAGAAACAAGGTTCAGATTTACGAAACGGGACCTAACTTCGAAAGCTTTTCGGGTGCTGAAGAAATTCATCCAGACCATAGACATTCGACGCCATGTCACATCGATTTCGGTGAAAACTATTAAACCAAAACAGATATTATTCCATGCCAAGCGTTCGAAACAGAAAGGAAAAAGAAACATTGAGGGCTCGAGTAGAAAAAGCTTCCAAATGAAAGGGCGTTTCAGGACAAAATCATTCGCATTCCTTTTGGCGTCCAGTTTATAGTTCTTGTACGTCGGGGGAACGTGTTAGGAAACGGGGTAAGCCCACGAACCGCTTGTTGCGACAGAGCTTTTGCCCCGAATCCTTCAACTGCCAACTGACACGAATGCCGAACCAGTCTCTCGGCTAACGGTTATGCATTCGACCCGCATTAACGAGCAATTACCTCAACTTAGAAACAGAACTCATTCGGTTCCCCGCCGACAAGAGGCCCACGAACCAGGACCACGCACGAGCATCCATTTCATACCGACAATTCCTCTCGATCCAAATCACACACAAAGGAAGAAAGGAAAAAAACCTCTCGCGATCCCCAGCAACCGGGACATCCCCGAGTACTCCGGCCTCGCCCAGCTCGTGCGTCTCGCAATAGAAAAGGGTGGGCGAAACCGGACATCCCCGGGATGACGTCTCCCACGTGCATTAGAGTCGTTTCATGCCTTTCTCGTCGGGACACAATGGTCCTTCGGCCCACTCCGTATCGCGCCTCCTCATTGGTATGCGGGATCCGTGCCTTCCCGTGTCCCCTTTCTCACTCGGTCCAGACTCTTAATTACTTTCTCTAGCTATTATCAAGGAACCAATTTGCGTCATATACGATAAGGAAAGTTGTCCGATCGACGACCGGCGCAGTAAAAAATAAGGGCTGTCACAACTCCTCGATGGTCGGTAGCATCAACATTAATAGGCATCTGGCGCAGATCAGAAGCTACAAGCAAGACTGGAAACAAACTCGAACGTACATGATACTTAACTACTACCGGGGTGCTTTTCGAGTATCAACATGGTGCAAGCTCCGATTTTTCCTTTGCATCGGTGTCGGAATTCGACACAATAAAAAAAAAACTCGAGACTGCGTGAAGGGATGTGGCGAGGTGCAGGGGCTACATCAGGTATTTAAAATTCCAGGATGTTGATATTTGCATCTGGATTAGCAAGCAATTCCAGAGTCGTTCCATTTTTTGTTTGCCGTGTCCTGGGATCGTCTGCTCGAAAGTTGTTTCCTCAACGCATTCCGGTGTTGGCTTGTAATCTGGATTGAGCGTTACCCTTTTCAGAAAATATGAGCCCATGTACTTCGACACGCGACTTGAGATTCATCTCTATCTTACTGATTCTTTTAAAATGTATTTATTGACTAACGCTTTAGGTTTCTTCGATCCTCACGCAACCCACCGGTCGAAAAAAGATCAACACCCGCTCCCCTCTTTAATCAAAAAAAAAAGCGTAATGGGCTGCGCTTAGCTTTCAACGCTCTCTCGCACTGGGTGTCCGTATTTGGCGCTTTCCCCTGCTGCGGGGTGCACCTGGTGCGAGGTCGTCGCTGAGGTCGTCCCTTGGCACGAAGCAAAGGCGCCCGCCCCGCCCGAAATCCACGCGCATCTCCCGGCCCCCTTCCCGCGGCCGCTTCTTCCTTCCCGCATGCCTTCGGAATCAATCAATTCACGCTCCTTTCGCTGCCGTCAGCACGTCCCCAATCCTCTGACAGCCCACGATCTCTCCATCAGTATCGATCTGGAGTACGTGCGTGTTACACTTTCGCTGCTCTTCCTGCATGTCATCCATTCTGCCCTTTTGTCGAGCTTGTATTTTTGACACGAGTTTATTTTACTGGCACCTACTAAGAGGCAGTCCAAGAAAAAATAGGGCAATTTTTGAAATATCAAGAGTTGGCCATCTTCCATTTGGCTGAACCATGAAATAAGGTTCCCTCTAAGATCAAAGCCAGAAGCCCCAATATACCTCTCCAACCCATCGGTCTCTCATGTCAAGGGTGGGGGAGCTGAAGGTGGCCCTACACACCCTAGGATATACTGTACAAAGACAAAAAGACAAAAAGCTTTGCTATAATAAATTGTGCCTCAAAATTCTTGTTTCATTCGTCTTTATATGAGCAGTAAAAGATACTTCAGCCACATAAGTTGATGCAGCAAAGGTCTGACAAAGGTGTGACAGTGACTGAGAATAGATAATGTCAACTTTGAAAAATGCTACCCTTTCGTTGCATCAGCTTACCTCATATGGGGAGACATCATTATTGGTTTATCCGTATAGGTAATATCAGACCCTTTCTGGTTAAAATCAGCAGTAAAAAACCTTTGTTGGTAACATCTCTAATGAAAATATACAGAGTGAACTCACGAACCTGTAAATTCATGTATCCGTCAACGGAGACGAGGACACCTTGATATTCGTGTCCCCACTTGAGTTTTACAATCACTGTCTTCCCAATCAGGCCATGAAGGAATGGCTTGGGGTTGAGAGGTACACCAGGAACAGTAGCCTGCAACAAGACAAAAAAAAAAGACATTCAATTCATAGGTGTTATTCACAATGACTGAATGGACCCATAAATACCTCCTGCATTTTTACAATAATTTCTTTCAATGTTTTAACCATCAATTCAGGAAAAAGGTCTATATGCACTAATAGAACCTTCATAACTCAAGCTCTTGGTGGCAAAAAATGATAACGATAAAGATCCACATAAAATTGAGTTCTTTTGATTTTGATTCTCTTGAATGGAATACCCTCATTCGTGTTTTGCAACATTATTTTCAGATAATTTTAGAAACAAGCTAATTTTCTCAAGCATAGCTACTGGAACCCAAGGATGGGGCAGGACACATGCACTGATAAAATACATTTAAAAAGCTACGATGTATACAATATCATAAAGGGTGTACAATATAATTTTAGAAACAAGCTAATTTTCTCAAGCATAGCTACTGGAACCCAAGGATGGGGCAGGACACATGCACTGATAAAATACATTTAAAAAGCTACGATGTATACAATATCATAAAGGGTGTACAATTAATGAATCCCCTCCAGGAGTTAAGAGGAACCTCCTTTCCTACATCTGTTCCATCTTCCAGTTTTGATCTGAATCCTGTGGTATGTACTGACAGTAGTCCACATAGTTATCTAGAGCATATTACTTAACCTACTTACTCATTATACAATGCATTATGTACTTAATGAGTTCTGTAAGCTACATTAAAAAAAAGTATTGACCTCTGCTTTTAAGCTTGTAGTGAAACTTTCAACAACAAAAAAATAATCCAGTGCCAGAGAACAAAGCAATTTAAGGAAGGGCTGTCAGGATGCCATGACACATCATTTATTCTCTGCCTCCTTCCACAAACAAAGTTGGGGCCTATCTATAGAGACCCCAAAAATTTATTTTTAAAATCTGAGTTGAGGACAAACCCTTTGATGAGAGAACTGATTTTTCCTTGATCCATCAACATTTTCACAATTGCCATTGNCTGCCTCCTTCCACAAACAAAGTTGGGGCCTATCTATAGAGACCCCAAAAATTTATTTTTAAAATCTGAGTTGAGGACAAACCCTTTGATGAGAGAACTGATTTTTCCTTGATCCATCAACATTTTCACAATTGCCATTGTGACAGCCTAAATTTAGAGGTTTTTTTTTTTCTAGATCACCTGAAAGTCAATTCCTCAAGGGCAAAACAATGTAGGAATCAAACTGAGTCACACCCAAGAAATAGGATAGGGGAGAGTAAGAATTGTCCATAAAGACATCAATTATATGTGGGTGGATTCATCATATTTACTCAAACTGTAGAGCACAATGGGGTGCTTCAAAAGGTGACTGTGGTCAGGTATCATGAAGCAGTTGCTACTTTCTACTGAACCTTACTTTTGACCATATATCATAAGTGAGATACGGTAAACTTGACTTGAGGGCGTCATCCTCACAGCATACGGCTTAACTTTAGAATACCTTCCCACACCCTTGGGAGCAAATAAGTATTAGTATCATACTTATATCTATATGGATATATTGGGAATATATTCTCTTGACAGCGCATGGACAGTGTTTCGCCCAGGAAACGCTAGAAACTTGTCATATATCTTGGGCCTTGGCAACCCCGAGCACCGTATTACACGCTCCACCCATGCCCCTGCATCTGCTAGCACATTTCATGGCCTTCCTGGGCATGCACAGTGTACTTGGGTTGAGGTCGGTCCTCCTGTGGACTGACCCGACTCTCGTGGCACGTTTCACTACGCCCTTCCAGTCTAGTCTTCATCCCAGTGAGACCTGTCATTGCACTAGCACAGTAGGTGGATCTCCATTATTTTCCCCCAGGTTCGATGTCAAAGGCCAAAGAGTGGGAAAGTCAAGCTATTTTGGGGGATGATGGGTTAGTTGGGTTAGAAAAGGGTCGCGGCCTTCGGCCGCGATTATTTTCTAACCCAACTGACCCATCATTCTCCAAAATAGCTTGACTTTCTCACTCTTTTGGCCCAACATGGAAGGAATGCTCCCAGGGTATGTGTCTCTCACTAGTTCTCTTCGGTTAGAGTGCGCTTGGGTTTAGCGAAAACCCACAAAAGCTTATGAAACGTTAGTCTGAGTCTCTAGCTCCAAAGTGATTACGAAATTACAGGTATTTTCAAGACCACTTAAGATTGATATATAATGTTTCTCTGAAGCGGTTGGTGCTTGAGAAATGAGAGCGCTTCGCTTGATTAGCATTGTTCAGCGTGAGAATACAGGCATCAATGGTTTTTATTGTTCCAACGAAAATGGGCGTTCTTGGCCTCTATGCAACATGGCAGCCCCCATTTTCTGTATTTTCCATAGAGAATAATGTAAAACCATGGAATGCCACAAAATTTGCTAATCAAGCGATGCGCTTATCTTTCTCGAGCACCAATTGTTACAGAGGAAAATTATACATCAGTCTCAGGTGGTCTTGAAAAAATCTGGGGTGGGAAGGGATTCTAAAAGTGTTCAGACTAAAGTTCCACTGTGCTCTACTCTAACTGTGCTCTAAAGCTCCACTGTGCTCTAGCTACTCTAACAATGACATCAAAACTGGAACTAATTGCAATTGAAATGTGACTGGTGCAGTTGTGAAAACTTCCTATTATAAAAATTATCTGCTTGATGAATCAACAAGTCTGACACCAATCCCAATTTAAGGATGTTTGTCCAACAAACAGCAAACTTCCATCTTCCAGATGCCAAACCTACCTTATTTTATTTTATTTTATTATTATTATTATTATTATTATTACTATTTTCCCTGTCTGCATTCTTCCCAATGAATACCTGAGTGGGTTTGAGGGTTTCTGAATCCCTCCCCAATCCGAGAGAGGTCCCAAAAACTTTATTTGTTGCCGCTTTCTTCTCATGGGAATAATCTTGATGCGAATGAAACTGATAGGATTCATACAACAATACGCGCGTAAAATCCTTTTAGACTCAAATCCTAACTCATGAAGCTGAAAAGTTCAATTTAAAGGGTGAACTACGTGCCAATCCACTGAGAAAGATGGAAACCACCTATTTATTGCCTAACATGCTGTTAGGCTTTCCACACCACCTGGGCCTCACGTGAAGCTAGGCCAATCATGGGCCAGAAAAACGGCTCAATCAAATCCGTGTGAAGGTTCAGACCAACACAAGTATGACAAGCTTACCATTTGAGAGCAAAGGAGGTGACGTTAACTTCGACGTGAACAGGTTCTCGCCTATGTGCAAGAAAATTTGCTAGAGGATCCGTTAAACCCGGCGGCTTCCGTGCGCCTTCACCACGATACTGGAAGTGGACATGTTCTTGGGCATCTTCGACCACTGCATATCCTTGACTTCTCCCAATCCCATCCTTTAGAAATAATTCAGGCGCTTAGTTTTCAAAAGTGCCCCTAATTCTTCCTCTTCTGCTCGACAGACGTTTTGGAGTTTAAGTGTAGTATCTCCGAGAAAGCTAGTCTATATACAACGTAATAGATGTAAGGAGGTCGTTTGAGGAAAGTGCACGATTAAAGCAACATTAAGTTATGGTGGGAATAGCGACTGGTGAGTGAATGGAGTGTGAGAGACGAGCGTATAGCACTAGCCTTCCTTCACATTGGAATTTCTTTATTCCTTGTCATCCAATTATGGCTTACAATATTCTAGTCATGACTAGAAGGCAAGGCCTCACGTTAGACCTACATATTGCAGGATTGGCCTATCATTGTTCTAGTCTCTTGGCACGTGAGGCTTGAGCTCGTGTTGGATCCGAAACACCGTTTAGGCTAGCCATTCCTAAGTCACCCTTTTCACCACCTGGAAAAAACTTTTTTCTGTGCCATCATTTTCGAAGATTTTTTTTGAATGGCTTACACGTTCCGGCTGGTCAACTCCGAATTGCGCCTTAAGTTTCAAGACGGGCCAAAGTGAGTTTCAAGCAAGAAGTTAATTTTATTTCTCGAGTTTTTTTAATTTTAATAATATTTATTTTTTTTTATTTTTTAGGCCTAGCCTATATTTGTTTCCTCCTCCCCATCCCTGACCCCCAACGCTTTTCACAAATTTTTAGGACTTGGGCATTTATTCCATTTATGTGCATATATATGTATATATTTATATTTTTCTGCTGACTGGGGGTTAACTTTACAATTGGTGCATTTATGATGTCACCATATCCTCCATAGTATATATATTAGTGCCATTGCATTAGTAGTTTGGTAAAATGGCATAGCTTTGGCACACAATGATGAAAATTTTATACAATGCTCATTCTCATTGCATCACATATTCAAGTAGATGTAAGCGTATTAGATCTTGACATGCTGAGTGATTCATGAATGACTTGCAGAAATGCAGTCTTTGTTCTGTAAGCCCTTCTATGGAAAGAAATAAACATTCCTCAAAATATCCTGTGAGATTCTTTGTGCATGAAGACTGCACCATTGCTTGGTTTTCATCAGCCCCACCTCCTTAGTAGTGTAAGCATCAGTGTTATTTTCCCTTATAACTTTTTGATGCACTAGGATGCCTGGACTATTTCCTTGTTCAAAGTTCATGAAAAAAAAATAAAATTTCCATTACTGAATCGGGGTATCCTTTAGGTATGATAAATCCATGACGATTTAGACTCAGTCATGTGAATACCATCGTTTTTTTTCACACTTTAGGCCCCAGGCCCTTGTTAGGTTGGAGGATGAGTCATAGAGTTGACTTCCTGATATCCTGGAACAATAAAGTTGAAGTTAGTATTAAGGTGTGGAGAATTCAAGGTGAGAGGGAGTTATTTGGGAACTTACAGATGGGCAGGTTAGGTATATGCAACAGGCAGGAGCAGCTGAGATTTATGGATATGGTATATGATTGTTTTTTTACTCCTTCGCCAGCAAGTCAAAGACTGAGGAGCTAAAATGGAATTTTGGAAAGTGGTGGGTCATGGGGGTTAGGAAGGGCCCAGGTTAATTGAACATGGTTATTTTGAAGTACAAAATAAATTGGTTTAATTCTTTTTCTGACCTGCACCATAGAGATGTGGTTATTGTTTAGCACATATTTTAAAAGTGCTACATTGTCATCAGTGTCATTGCCACAAAGTCCTCGAGATCAGTTTTTTTTTTTTTATTGTAGTCACAAAAGAGTTGAGAACTTAACTCTGAGTCTCATGAGAATGAGCAAAAAAATGTTGGGACTGGCATTACTCGCACCTTGTATGGCCACATGGGAAACATGGATGAAAGATCCATTGATGCACCTTTTGCAAAAGTATTCATAGACCCCATACAAATTTTTCAAGCCCTCTACATTGCTAGAAAACTTGGGAGGGAGGCTTCCTGCCTTCCTTGCCAATGTACTGCCAAGTTGTGATCTATTTCACTCTTATGGAGTGAATGAGAGGCATGTTCACATTCTCACTAGATCTTTCGCACCAAAAATAAGATACATTTCCAGAAAAGCCCTCACTCAGACTTTGGGTTCCAATTCTTTTACTTAATCCACTAAGTATCATGTGGAAACCAACAGAACTACCAAAAAATGACAATAAAGGGAATCTTTTGAGGGAAGAGAAAAGAAGGGGGAAGGGACAAGTGTTTTCTTTCCAGAGTTCTCCTACTCCCTTTTTCCTTGGCTTGCCTTTTTCCTTCTGCCTTTTCTTTTGATTTTTTTTTCTTTATTATTCTTTCGCCATTCTGGAAAGGTAAATCCCTTGCTAAAAGAGATAACAGCAGGCTTTGATTTCTTTTGTCTTGTCAAAAGCAATCTTGAATATGTGATCTGAGGGATTTGCCATGCCCCATTCCTTTGTCATAGGATCTTTCTAATGCTCAATGTATAGTATTATATCCCTCAAGATACGATATGTCAAGAGGGGGAGATAAGGGAGACAATCTGGAGACAGATAAGGATATCAATAAATGCCTTCATGACATCAATAAAAGTTTCATGACAGTATTCTCCAAACTCCTGTGCTTTTTGTATCCTTCATGGTTGTGATTGAGGCCATACTTGTATTTTTATCTTTTAAAACAAAAATTCAAAGTAGGGAGAGGGGAGAAATCTGCAAAATAAGTTCAAATAGAAATATGGGGAATCTGTCATGTGTTCATCTTCATGGTCTCTCTCTATCTGATCAAAAGGCCTGAAAGTTTGTGCCTTATTGTTTTCATTCACAATGCTGGTGTGATTGTTTTTATTTTATTTAGTACATTGCTCTTTACAGTTCCTTTCTTTTTAAATTCCCTTTTGCTGTTATAATCCTGTACTAATTTATATTTATTTAAAGAAGCTATTTCCCCTTAATTCTGAACCCCAGAAGGATGACATTTCTTCTTGAATGTAGCTTCTAAAACTTTTGCTGCACCTTGAAGGGATACTTTCTGCTCTATAATTACTAATGTTCAATGGATCTCCCCTTCATAAAGTGGACTTGCACTGGTGGCCACCTTCACTTGGCATGGGATTTTAAAATTGTCTTGAAGTATAAATTGAAAATACTGGTTAATATTGCACGAAATTTGAGTTCGTGCTGTACCACCAAGTATCCAAGTGCTGTACCACCATCCAAATACATTGCTGGTACATGAAAATTGTAGCAGGAAGAGGACTATTGTCTTGGCAATGGGTAGGCACCTTTGCCTGGAATCGTTTTTCATATTAAATTTTATAAATCAATGACTGTGAAAATACATTTTCAATTTGAAGGCCTCTCTGTGAAGTTTAAACTCATGAGGACCACTGTATGTTTCAAAGTACAACGTGGAAGAGAATATAGTTTGGAAAGTGTCCTTTACAGGGGCGCAATTGGCCAACCTACTATTGAAAGATTTATCATGGATGGGAATCGGGAGGACTCCTTCAACTGGGGTCTCAAGATCCCTTACATTGATGCAGCAGATCTAGGATCAGACTTTGAGGATGATTCCTCTTCTCAAGCCGAAGATTGTAAAAGCAACCAAAGTGCTCTGACTTTGAGTGATTTGAGCTGTGATATCCAGACTCTTGATGTGAGTGGCAGTGCAAGTGAATATCCCAACACCTCTGGTGATCGAGGTGGCAGTGTTCCAGAGCGGACGAATTCTCTCTCTTCTGAAGGCAAGCAGGTCTTGCCTTGGGATCAATTCTCAAACTGGTTTCACTGCATTTGCATTGTCACTTTTGACTTGGAAATTGGTCAGGCACTAGAGGTAAGTATTATAGTTTCATCTGTGCTGGTTATATATTTCTTCCATTGTGTCTACATTGTTGGAATATGCCCAGTTTAAAGCCAAACCTTCATCCTTTACCTTTCAGATGGTGTATCCAGGACATGCCAAGCTGACGGAAGAGGAGAAATTGAATATCTGCTACTTGGCATTTCCTGATTCTAATTCAGGACAGATGGGTGATTCCCTGTTTCACTTCCGCATACAGGCATCCAGCCGACGTCCTTTGTTGGCACACGTGAACTATAACCGTTCCTGTCCTGTCCCTCTTCAAGTGAATAATTCTTACTTCTATGGATATGTGTTCTTTCGCCAAGTCAAGGATAGGAACCTCAGGAGAGGGTATTTTCAGAAGGTAAGGTGCCAAAATCAATCCATTAGGAGTTCCATTTATTAACACTTTCAATTCTGTACCTGCCATATGACAGATATAAGCCATAGTGCATCCAAATCCCCAGGATTGAAAGTGTTAGTGGTATGGAATTTTTTATCACTGTGGTCAGGGCAATGGAACATGTTCAGAGCAGGGCCAAAGAACAGCTGCTTCTTTGTGTTTTGTCACTCTTTTATGCATCATTCAAACTCTGACTGTGCTTATATAAGGGGGTTGGGAGTTAGCATTTTCCCTCTGATACCTCCAGCACTTCCCCTCTCCTTCTGGTTTCACTGCCCCTGATTTCATTGAGCAAAAATGAACTCGATTACATGTTTTGGTCATGGGAATTGTTGCAGTCGGTGGTGTTGATATCCAAGCTTCCATTTGTGCGACTGTTTTACCACATCCTGGAGTCTGTGGCTCCTGAGTTTTTCGAAGGGGGAGAAGCAAGCCTGGAAGCAGCATGTCATGACATTGATAGTTGGCCATCTCCTCTCCCTGGTGATCTCTTCAACCTCCCGCTCCTTGGAAATATCCTTCAGGTCTGCATCTGCTGCACTGTACACTGATGTGTACCTTTGTGTGACCTTACTAAACTTGAGGGTAGAGCTCTTTCCTTTTGTGTGGGTCTCGGCACTTACATTAGGAAGGTGCATTCCTCATGGTCTTTGCAATCTTGATTAAATCTGCCTAAGTAAATTACGCTCTGTTCTCCAATCCTTTCTAGTTGAGTCTGCCAGAAAGAATCTTCAGGTTTACCTCACAGTTCACCTTTTTTTTTTTTCATTATCTCCCCGTCTGAGAGGTCTTCCTTTCCCTTTTTTATATTCTTCTTCCAGCTAGTGCATTGGAAAAGATTCCCATTCTGAATTCTGATTGTCAGCATACCTGGAAGCAGGGGTGGAAAAAGTTCTGTAACCGGGAACCGGTAAGGGTAGCGACCGATCGGGAAGGCCAGGCAGGGAAAATAAAAAAAATAAACAGAAGGAAAGCAAGGGACAAAGAATAAAATTATGTGGAAAGAGCGGGAAGACGAGAGACAGTCGGATTGTTTAGGTTGAGAGATAGTAACGGATTGAAAGAGGGTAAATGACGACTGTTTGTGAAAAGATAGCGGAACCGGGAAGACATCTCCATCGCGACTGACGTCAGTGAGTTCAGGGACGAGGACACGCTTTTTTTTTTTTTTCTTCCGTGCAGAGTGCGTAAGCAAAAAATATCTCGGTATTACTCATTCACTCGATCCTTGGTTTGTAGGTTCTCGCCCCAACGAGTAGGATAGGTGAGAAGTAAGATACCTATAAAATTTGCCTGATCGTAATGAAGAGGCGGCCACGTCATCGGCATAAAAAGGGATCATGATTTTGATTGCTCATTTCACGAAGCGAGAGACACTCATCACGAATTAAATGGCGTCTTGCGGCTCGGAAACCTCTTCCTTTCCTCTTTTATCGATCAGTCGGCCTCGGGTTACCTGGCTCTCCGCTGGCAGATTAATTGATCCTTCGCGCCTCGTTTCAAGCGACGTTATTTGAGCTCAAAGTTGAGAGAATACATTGATCTCCATTCCCCCATCGGAGCGCCGTCCGATCCGTTCGCGTTTGCTACGTATCGAATTTTTCTGACTCGGACGTCTCTCTCTCCCCTACCGTGACTGTTGCGATTGTTAAAGTCTACTCCAAGGAGAACGACATGAGATGAGAGGGAGTTTCTCTCCCGCCGATCGTTGGTCTGGCCTCATTTCCAACGCTGGGTGATTTGATTTTCCTCTAGCTCTCTCGTACTCTTCGAATGTCAGTCCGTTCGGTCGGCAACCGAATTCCCCGGAGGGTGGGGGGATGGTTAAATGGTTTTAAATTGCCAAATGGTTTTAAATTAGGTGCCATTAAAATGAACGTTTTAATGAACGTCTTAAGTCAAATATGCAGTCGAATATCTACCCTTAGACGGTAATGTGCGATATCAAAGCATGAATAACAACCATCGCATCGATGAACAATAATCGTCGCAATAGTCATGGTATTATGGAAACAGAGACACCCATCCGAGTCGGAAAGATTCGGTACGTGGTACTGTGCCAGACCTGGTACGTAGCAGTTCCTGTGTCCCGTCGAGTCGTGTGCATCTCGCCACTGAGGGAATATCTGCTGGTGCCAAGCGACGAAGTGCCCTGATTGGAGCCGCGATCCGTTGGGGTTCGGTTCCGTCTTCGTCTCCGGTTCGCATTTCTTGCGAAGAGGCATGACGCGTTGAAATATTCCAGTACGGGAATGAAAAGATCGATCGGAGTGCTCCTCTGCAGAAAAGGCTTTGGAGACCCTTTCGGATGACATTCCTTCGATTTTAATAAATGCCAAGAGTCTCTCAGGGGGCTATGCCCATCTGTGCAATCTCCACTTGGGTGGAAATGTTCTTTTTTTGTATTTGGAACGCTTGCGTCTAAAATCCGCATCTTGCTGTTTTATGAAGATGGATGGCCTACATGACATTCCATCGATTTCACAGATTGACAAACCTTGCCAGAGCGGAAGTGAAGAAAGACGGCCGAAGACCCCGCGAGAAAGCAGCTGATTGTGATAAAATTCCTCGCTGCTGAGGGTGAAAAGGCCGCATCCACGCACAAACGGCAGCAAAATGTTTTCAGCCACACGGAAATTTGTCACAATCTGCTGCTCTCTCACCTCGCCATGATTGGTTATTTCCACTCTGGTAAGGTTGTCAATCTGCGAAATTTATGGAAGGTTTTGTAGGCTCGTCATAATCATAAAATAGCAAGATGCGGATTTTAGGTGCAAGCGGTATTTAAAAAAAAAGTCCACGAACTTTTCTACCACCCGCCCCACGTACAAGCGTTTTCATGCCTAGTTCTGGATTCAAATTGATCTTTTGCCAAACCCCCCCCCCCCCTTCCCCTCCCCCGCTTTTGCCTCTGCACATCCCTGGGAGCCATAGGGTCATTCCACACACCTGCTAAACTGGGAAGGTAAACCATGGTTAACGGGAAGCAGAAGAACTTTTTCCACCTCTGCCTGGAAGAATCAAACAAAATTTGGAAAGCTCAATTATAATCTGTTTCTCAATTAGGGACAATTGAAGCAATAGTGGGACTCTGAAGGAGGCCAGCCTATGCATTCTAGACTCCTGAATCTGGTCAACTGGGATGAATGAGATGACTTTGAGTGGGTTCAGGGTAGTAGGTAAAATGGGAGCTATTTGGGGCAGTATCTGGCGAGTGAGAAAAGGGGAACAAGATCACTACAGGTTCTTTCTTGCGCTTCTCAGCCTCCATTCTGAGATCTGATCTGAGAGATTGGGGTCCTGAAGATTCCCACATCAATAAGCAATGCACTTTCTCTAACCATGCTGACATTAGCATATATGTGGCCATTGTTCTTTCTCTTAAAGAGAGCTTGAATGTGTATAAATGATTTTAGATGAAATATTCTGCATATCCATTCCGATGCAGGTGCGAATTCCGACCAAGCATGATAAAATTGGAACAGGGTTTGCATTAGAAGGTCAGTCTTCGCCACCTCATTCTCCATCTTCACTGATCGGAATGGGGACCTATGGAGATCGGGACTCGTTCCGGCTTCTTTTCCCGATTCTTACCCAAGTTCACCTCCTGTGGGAATTGGTATTGACTGCTGAACCTCTTGTGGTCATGGCTTCCACCCCTGGCACCTGCTCTGAGATGGTCCAGGCACTCATTGGGTCTGTCATCCCTGCTGTGTGCTTTCCCCAACTTGAACTAACCCATTGCTTTAATGCCATCAAAATAATACTGTATCTGTGAAGATTTAAGGGATCTTTATATTTTATAATACAGCTTGATCTGGCCATTGAAGTATGCTGCAGACTTCCGTCCGTACTTCACGATCCATAACAGTGAATTTAAGGATTTGACATCAAGGACCCATGCTCCTCCACCTGTCATTCTGGGGGTCACAAATCCTTTCTTTGCCAAAAGTCTTCAACACTGGCCTCACATCATCCGACTTGGTGACATATCAGGTATGTCTGAGTGGTATTCTGGCATTTTATGTCAAGTCCCTCTCTCTGTCTCTTCATAGTAATTTATTTTGATCTCCATCCTGTTCACAGTTTCAAGTAAACCTCACAAGCAGAAATTGCGACGAACAGTGCAGATGAAGACATTGGACTGTAAGCCAGGAGTGTACACCCAGGCAAAACCATTCCTCCAAAAGGATAAGGTGATCCTGAAGAAGGTGCTGAAAGGGTTTCAAAGCAGCCGCCCTCTACCGGTTCAGAATGCCTTGTTGCGCAGACACCTGATGGAACTAACTCAGAGTTTCATGATACCTCTTGAGAGATACATGGGGAGCCTCATGCCACTACAGAAAAACATATCCCCATTCAGAGTCAGTATTTCATATTAAGTCTCCATTAGCTGGATGTACACCACATTCTGATTTTGTTCCTTTTCACTTCCCACTAGGCTGCACCAACCTTGAGACCATTTAATCCTGATGAATTCCTTGCCACTCTTGACACAACTGGACCTCACCTGACAACAGGCGTAAAGGGCGATTGGGCCGGGCTGTACCGCAAGTTTTTCCGTTGCCCCAACTTCAGCGGTTGGTATAACAGTCGATACAAGGAGGCCCATTCCAAACTTCAAGCTCTCCATCTCCAGGCTCTCAGCTCAGCTGTAAATTCCATTTCTAATTACATATTACTTTCCCTGGCATTTTATATAGTTTAATAAGTGCACATCTGTTGGGATTCGCAACAGGATGTTCTCCTGTGGACAAAGGGAAAGGCAGAGGTAGAGATGGTGGACATGTTCCTGCGTTTGCAGAAGAAGCTGGAAACTGCGCGGGAAGATGACATCCCTGTGGATTCCAAAGTCCTGAAGAACCTGGAAGCACGCATCCATGACCTTCATTCTTCCCTCCCTCCTGACCTCCAAAATGTACTCCACTCCCGATCTGAGGCGGCACTTTGATCATGACCTGTATCCTCTCTATCATTTACTTCAGACCTACCGTTTCTCATGACACTGCCCATACTCTGTCAACTTGTTACTCAGGTTCTCTTGTAAGTTAAGGCTGCTATGTCACTATGTGTGTGCTTGTGTGTGTGCAAGAAACTAACAATGTTAGTTTCTACTATTGTCCCTATAATTGAGCTGGTGGGGTTAGTTCATGGTTCTCGTGTTATTAATTCAATGTCAAACAACCATTTCTTTTCCTGTGTAGTCATAATTGCTGTCACTGACAAATACTCAGTTTCACTTCTTGTCATATTCATTCCTGGTTCCGATTAGGACTTTTTATTTTGTCGTGACAAGTTTTTCCTCCTTTCCTTTGAGCTCCTTGTTAATTTATATTTTGATGTTACGTCTCCATCTCTGCCAAGAAACTCTCCTTGCCCTTATTCACATCTCTGTCCATCTACAGGTTGATGGACATCCTGCGACTGTGATATTTTTCACAATTAGTGCATTATTGTCTGCATGGAATCTCCACAGAACTCGGAATAAGAGCATGTCTTTCATCGTGCTCATTTTGATGTGATTTTGCACATTTTCGGTCTCGGCTCACCTGCGCCAAACAGCGTCAATGTGAGCAAAGAAAAGGGTGCATTCGAAGAATCTGTCAAAAATTAAAGTTGTGGATGGATGAGGACATGAAATGAATCTCACTTGTATGCAGCAATAAATATGGTGAGAGAAAAGTATCTTTTTTTGCTCACTGGTGATCATTTTCTTTTTGTATTGCCAAAGATCTCTGGCAGATTTACATTTTGTAGTTTAGCCTCCCACTTGCACCACAGAAGTTGAACTCAAAACAGTGCTCTTATTCCAATGATTGGTCAATGTGAAATGTAAATCACTTATGAGTAGCAACTGGAGGATAAGTGTTTGTGTTGATCAATTAGCTAGTGTGCACCCCGTTAAGTATTGAATCCCTTTCTAGTCGATATTTCAATGAAGGGTTTTGAGCACAACAGAAATGAATGTGAAGAAAAAACTTAAAAAGTTGCATAGACTATATTTATAGATTCAACAGTGCCAATTTTTTTTGCCCGCACCCCTTCCCCCCCAATCTCAAAAGTTGCACCATCGGTTTTTCGACCGAAATATTTCCCCCCGAAATTTCATTTTCGTTTGGCGTTCCCGCCAAAGCGTGGAAAACCCATTTGAAGGCCTCCACCTTGAGACCTTGAAGCCGGAAATCCTCATCCTTCGTGGCAGAAGCAAGTCACGACGGCCTCAAAAACTCCAAGTCAAGGACAAGAAAAAGAACAAGGAGTAAATCAGTAAAAGTGAGCCATTCACGGTGAATCGGTACATTTACCAACGAACCTTGGAAAATCGTTTTCCACTCTTCCACACCGTTTATTTTTTAGAATGCAGAAGGCCAAAAGCGAATAATGTGCAACCCCCCCCCCCCCCCACCCCCCCCACATCCCCTTTTATTTTTTAGAAGGCAGAAGGCCAAAAGCGAAAAATGTGCACCCCCCCCCCCCCCCAGATGTTTTAAAACCTTTGAATGTTATATGAACAAAAAGTGTCACGAATCGCTGAACGTTCCACCCTATGACGCTTTGTGATTTCCTCATCCAAGATTTGCCTTGATAATACATAACATCACCAATGGTATTTCATGATACTAATTTAAGATACATTTACTAATAGTATGAGATACAATGTATCATTCCTAGTTCGCCCTACGACGATGGTAGATATCAGGGAGACGATGAATAAATAAAAACTCAAGGAATAAATAGAGCGAAGAATAATGCATATAATGGGCCTTGAACGACTGCGTTGTGAAATCAATGTGGAAAACCATTTCCAAGGTTTCCACTTTGACTCCATCTTCCGTCACGGAGGAAAGCGGACCATCGTTTCTCCTTTCTGCCATCCACGAACAATTGGCACCAATTGGCATAGAAGGGGGTTGTCCCAGCTCAGCTGGGCAGCGTGACGTCATCGGTGTTCATGCAGCTCTGACGCCAGAGATCCTGAAGAAGTTTAGTGTGCGTGACTCGGCAACGTGACTCGTGCGTGACATCGGCAAAGGAGCGATGAGTCGAGGTCGCTACGGGTCGCTGCGTGCAACCCGAAACGGCAAGACTTTCCAGTTTCAGCAGGGAGCGACCGACAGTGCAAACTTGAATATTTTATATATCTAAAAAACTTCGGGATTTTCCTCGAGTTCTTTTTTGAGGGGGTTGAAAAACCGTTTTTAGCGCCTATCTATAAATCGGACACTTGCACACTTGTCATTACATGGAAACAAGAAACCAGAAAGAACCCATTAAGTACTGAACAAATTTTAGGAACAACTTTTCATCAGCTCCTTGCATCATATTGCACATTTGCATATTAGAATCGCGTTATTACGGGAACCTAGGGCCCAATTTTCGATTTCATATCCATCCTGGGCACACATCGGGGTCCAGGCGACGAGATAAATTTACGGAAATGGCATCATGGTTCATCGTCGACTAAAGAAATCAGTCATTCTTAACCCTCATCCGGGAAAGCTTTTTTTTTACAACCTATTCCGGGCAAGGTGAGTCTGTCAGACTCGTGTAAAATAAGGCCGTTTCCTGCGGTTACGGTATGTATTCTTATAAATAACAGTACTGTATAACTAAAATAATACAAACAATTTATTCAATGGTCCTGATAGTTAAAAAAAATGACAGTAATAGACCGAAATATGTCACCTTGCCCGGATTAAGGGTTTAGGATTAGGAGGCGAAAACAGTTTGATGGTTTCTAACGTGACCGAAACCCAGTTGAAACCACGACCACGAGCTTTACAGTGTTTTTCACTTGAGTTAGACATTTTTTCACGTGACTTCGACGACGGTGCATGGTGAGGGTGATAAATGATGATGATTAATTTCCTGCCGAAGAAAGGAAAATCAATATGAACCTTCCCAAATACGCAGTATATTGAAATGATAATTTAATGTAGTGAAAAACTAGGCTTTTGTGTCACTCATTACTGTTTTCCAATAAAACAGATGAAATTTTGGGCATCGTTCCTGGTTTCTGAAGTATCATTCCCCACGCCGAACTCACGTCGGCTGGATTAGACCTGGATTAGACCTGGATTAGACCTAAGGCTGGATCTAACGTGGATCTGGGATTGTCCATCGAAGTCCGATCCAGTGTTTCTACATCGTCGAGCTGATGGGAAATCGAAAACTTAGAGCCTTTTTTTTTTAATAGACTGCAAGGAAGGTCTCACATTGACAACATGGCTATGATGCGGTTCATCGTTTCCAGTACATCGTTTGATTCATATGAACAAGCCTAAATATTGGAAGGAAAGAAAGATGTCGCTAGTCACCAGGGGCAGCTGCGCCCTCGCATCGGTGTCTTATTCGAGTGAGAAATTGTCTAACTGAAGTGGAAAACACTGTAGAACGAATGGTAAGGAACATCAAAATGGCCGTTTTAGGTCTCTAGGCGAATCACAATTTATTTAATCCTATTGTCTTTCCGGCGACTCACGGGACAAAAATTCCTGCGTCCTTGCTTTTAAGGTTCCTTAAAAGGAACCGAAGAGTTTGGACTTGCAGTTCCCCTTTTGGGATCGCCCAAGTATCGAGAAAGAACGAGAAACCCTCGCGTCTTGCGTCCAAAGCAACGTCGTCGTCGGAAGCCTAAAAGCTCGTTGCTAAACAAAGAAAATTATGAATCGGCAGACCGCCTGAAGATTCTGCTGCTTCCTCCGCGGCGATCCGGGACGAACTGGCGTCCACAGTTCGCCGTGGCCAGTCGGCTGGGGTGGACCGAAGGCCTTATGCGAAGAAGACTGGACGCTCTGCGCGAAAGCAGGGTAACCGCAATGGCGGTCTATGCCCTGGTGGTTGGCCCGAGAACTAACGTCGACGCTTCCTAGAGCAGAGCGCTAGTGTTTCATGCATGCTGCGTTGGTTACCAATGTAGCAAGGAATCCGTTTATTTTTTGTTAATTTACGGATTGTATCATTTTCGTGAACTGGAGATCTCTGAATCCCAATGGCAATCTCATCTTTTGCCGAGAACATTTTTCCTTAGCTGTCAGCAACAACGTGCGCGAGTTGAAGCCAGCTGTAACCCAAATGGACCCCAAGAACATCTAATCTAATCTAATATCTAATACTTTAATTGAAAGAGACCGAAAGTTGTGGCGGCCGTCACTCTTAACGCGCGAGGCCTACAAGACTATGCCATTCTAGGCCATAAAAATCTTGGTAAACTTTTAATCTATTACGCAGCCAGCTCTAGTACGGCTGTAAATCCAAAGCGAAGCTGCAAGATAAGTATCCACAGCCTGCTTTTGTTCCTTCAAAATTTAAGTCATCCCATTCTAACAGGCCTGTCAATCCGAGACGCGAAAATGTTGACCTTTTCGTTTGGGTCATTGAGGTTACTCAGCATTTTATTAATACTTTATTCGCATGTTACATTTATGTAAAGCCATGACCATAGGCCTAGTGCAAAGCCCAGGCGAACACATGCGCGTGATTTTCCGGATCCTTGGGAAACCGATGCAACGGAACATCTCCATCCATTTGGCCAAATTTCTCCTGGCGTGGTACGTAGACGCAGTACTTGCATCCAGAGACAGCCATATTTCACGCGACATTCCAATCCAATGATCCCATTGGTCAGTTCTGCGTAGTTCCGGGGCCAAACACCAGGACAGGAGGTTTCCCCGACATCAAAGGCGACGCCATAGAGTGCCCAGCCTTCTTAGTATAAGGTTTTTGGAGTAGATGTTCAAGGGAGCTCTCTTCCCTTTAGGATAGAGAAGACTTACTAACTGCGGGGCTGGGATTCTACTCTTTCCTAATCCCGTGCAATAAAAAGCTTAACTTCAGCATTTAATGTTTCCCTGAGTCATATATTATAAAAAAATATATAATAATTTCATGTTTACCATATATGTATTCATGGATTGCATAATAAAAAGTAGAAGGATGTTAAGAAAACCTGATACTATATCAGGAAAACCAGTACTTAATGGTAATTGTAGGATGCAGGGAACAAGGGTTCCATCTAGTGAGGGATCTTGGTACTGCAATTGCAGGATGGTCAGCTAAAGTTTCATATGGATGGTGTGGTGTTAATTTTTCAAAAACTTGATATCATGTACTTCNATGGTCCTGGTGTTAATTTTTCAAAAACTTGATATCATGTACTTCACGTCAGATGGAGTGACGTCTAGTTGATGTAAAATATACGTACACTTTGGTGACGTAAATATAGGAACGTAAATTTTACGCAAACGTGATGTCATATTCATGGCAATCGCAAGAATTGTTTGCAAAAAATTGATATATTGTTTACATGAACATGCTGCCTGGGTACCATCACGTTGATGGCAAAAACCGATGCCGGAGATCCCCCAAAGAAGAGGAAAAGAGTATATTTGCAACTTCAGGAACGTCTTCAGAACCTTTGCCTAAGTTATAGTAAAAGAGAGATAAATCTCGAGCATTTTCTGCACGGAATTGGTCATAAAATACAACTTCAACACATTTCTGAAAAGCGGATACTTTTCGTTCCTTTTTTTTCATAAGAAGTTTGATCAAATGACACGACATCAATATCAATAAATGTCACAAAACATTCGTCTTTAACCTGACATAACCATAACGGGGTGGCACTTTTCCGCTGTTGCCAATTCTGAGGGTCTTATTTCCGGGTGGCTTTTTTCCAAAACCCATCTCGCACATGGCGCCAAATATCCTCAATACAGCGCTGCCATGGAGTAGTATGAATCTATCACGTTTCTCGTTAACGATTCCTTTAATCGGTGGCGTAATTTAAGGTATAAAGGGGAGTGGGACAGCTGGTTCGCCCCCCCCCCCCTTATGGCGGTAAAATTTTTCTCCTCTAATATCGCTCGGGTGGGGTTTAGCGCCCCGTTCTGCCCTGCCCCACCTGACTCTTCAGCCAAAATACGCCACTACATTTAATGATATCTACTGAATACCAATTCGTGTCATACGTAAGACTGGAGAAAACTTTGGTTCCCCCGCTGTCGGTAGGTCCAAGGAAAGCAACGGTTTGCATTCAAAGGGCGTGTGAACTCATCGCGAAAGCACTACTTCAGACGAGCGGCTAGATGGGCTTTGGATTTACAGTGTTTTTCACATGACTCAGACACACGTGCATGAGACGTTCCTCATGCATGGGTGTCGAAGTCAAGTGGAAAAAGTGTCTAACTGAAGTGAAAAACACTGTAGTTACTCGTCTAGATAGTTGAATGGGAGGGGGCTCCATCGACAATATGGCCTCTCCCTATGACTTCGGCTTCGCGCGTACAGTGATTCCAAAATAAGTTTGTACTATTTTAGCTGTCTTAGGCCATCGTGTGGAGGGTAGGTGAACTATCCACTGGGTAGTATACAGCTAGACAATTGCTGCAAACCTAGGCCTAGCCTGTATCCCAACTTAAAGAAAATGTCAATTTGTTAGTTAAACCTTTATAGGGTACTGGTACAATAATGTACCATCTTCTGTTCTTTCTGCAGTGTTTTGCTCAAGAAAGGGTTTAAATTTAAACATGGTTAGACCTAAAATAGCCATGAATTAAAATTTGATGCGATATATATAATTTTGTCAGAAAAGAAACATTGGAAAGAGATGATAGTGGATCATTCCATATGAACTCAACCAGGCAGTGTGCTTGACCATCTTGGATGTCACTATACAAGTTCTCAGTGATTGCAGTCATTCCAATTACCCTGTAAAATGAAAGAGTTGTGGCCATTTGATCGACAGTTAGTGAGATATTGACTGGTGAACTTAGGGGTAAAATGGAGAAACCCCCATGGATGGATAAATTTTCATCTCAGGAACCATTTATTATATGAAGGCATGCAATAGCTTGAACTGAATCTCTCAACCCTTTTGCTGCCATTCACACCATATGGTGTGTTCAGTGCGACGAACCTCCACTGCCATTCTAGATGAGGAGAGGTTGGCTAGGGCTGTAAATCCTTGGCAGTGAAAGGGTTAAACAGCTGAACAATTCACTCAGTATGCCCTTATAGCTTGAATGAGATTTTAGCTTCATTGTTGAGTTTGAAAATGTGATGCTTGGGCAATGTTTACCCCCAAAAATTCATATGTTGCTAGGAAAAAGACAAATCTTTTCTTGTGGTAAGTCGTGCTCCAATTTTATGTGCACTAATTAAGCAAGTTACTTGTTTGACTTTTTGTCTGCTAGGAAAAGAAAAAATTATAAAAATAGGAATTGTCCCATTCTTGGTCATATTTGGTTGAGTACTTTTTTGTGTGGTGGATAACTCTGAGCAAATCTGTGGTGGTCAGGTGTCATTTTATGTTAATATTGTATGAGTTTGTATGGAATGACCTGTATGTCATTTCTTTTTAGCTCATTTTCATTTGCAATAGCTTTTGTCATGGTGAAGATGAGAGGTAAAATCTTTAATATATCAAAGTTATTTTAAATGGAGAACTGGAAGCCCATTTGATTGGATATAGTAATTACGCAAAAGTCGAGCCCGTTTCCTTAGTACAATGACGTGCTGCACAAGAGAGGCTCCATACTGAACAAATGCTTCACGCAGGGTCGTGAGTGTGTTTATCTGTAAAAGTTGGATTGTGATCTACAATATCAGTCATGGAAAGATACATGTACGGTTAGCACAACTAGAGAAGTGGCATTGTACATATGAATACAGAATTCCCGACCTTAGGCGTGTGCTTCACTTGCCTATGCCTACGACTAGGGATCGACTTTCAGAGACCCTCACCGCGATTTGGTCCAGAAAACCAACCCTCTAAAATATCAAATTCCAAGAACATAATGATGTAACCATTTCTTACAGCATACTCTTCAGTTACCTTAGAACACTATATTTACGACCATCAACGCTTAGAGGCACCAGTAAGTACCACAACATAATATATACCAAGGACATTTGTAACCACGATCTCGGTGTGCCTCACTTAAAGTAAGAATGATGTAATTTAAGGAGCTCGTTTCCGGTTGACTATATGGATTAACAACGCTGCATTCTCTGTGAGACACATTTTAAGGTTCGCTTAAAACATTCACTATATTTACGACCATCAACGCTTAGAGCCACCAGTAAGTACCACAACATAATATATACCAGGGACATTTGTAACCATGATCTCAGCGTGCCTCACTTAAAGTAAGAATGATGTAATTTAAGGAGTTCGTTTCCGGTTGACTATATGGATTAACAACGATGCATTCTCTGTGAGACACATTTTAAGGTTTGCTTAAAACATGGATTTGAAGACGAAGACATAGAGGGCAGTATGTCATTATAATGGTGAGGTCCGTAAAGTGAACCGGAATTCTGTCCAAATTCGTGCACGGGTCGACTTTCGCGTACTTACGTTATCTGTATTTTTCACACTCATATCAATGTAATATTCTCAGATGGCTTAGTCTGAAATACTATTCTGAGATCTTCTTTGACAACTTCTTAATTTGTGGCTCATTGTTCTTCATTAAAACTTTATGGAGCTATAAGGAGAGTGAAATATTTTTGGTTGTGTTTCAGACAGATCAGATTTGGAGTGAGGCCTTTATTTGATAGATGAAGAAAAGCATTTGTTCCATTGTAATATGTTTGGAAACCATAGGTGCAATGACTCTTTGTTGTGGGCAGACTTATTGAGCATTTTGGAGTGAAGGTACAACAACCATGGGTGAAGAGATGCCACTGTTTAATTCTCCAACAAAGGTATGTCTGTATGTGAATGAAATCATCAATACTGTCAACAAATGTGCACTCTTAATCCTAGCCACAATGGCTATCAGGTCATTGAGAACCATTTGGGTTTAATCATATGGGCTCATATATTAATTTCTTGGTTTCCTGGATTCTCCTATAAGTCTGGAGATTATAAGAAAACCAAAGATTTCTTCATGCATTCGTCCTCTTCTGATTTGTGACTGTTGGGACCACAATTTTGCTTCACGCATTGATCCCTATGAAAACTAAGAGGGACAGAGATAAGAGCTAATTCGTCAATATTGGTCAATCTCTTGGTCCTAATCCCCCATGTTACAAGGATGGCTGTGCCACAGACCCACCTCGTGCAGAGAAGATTTTCTCGCCAATGCTCCTCCTGGTGTAGTCAGCCTTCTCATGGTCCTGATGGACCAACACGTGACAAGGCATTCTTTCAGCTGCATGACTGAAGGAGGAGCCATGCTGCATGCTAAGTAAGGTGAGGTTGTCTTATATGGGTAGTCAAGGGATCTTGCCAAGATCCGATTGGTAAGGCTGCCTGACTGTCCCCTCATGAAGTACAGCAGAAACCTGCTGCCCAGGGATCTGTAAGCCCAGTTAAAGAGCCCCTTCCATTCCTGTCTAGAGCCACAGGGTTGCCTGAATTTCCCTCTGATGGCAATGTGCTCCCCCCCATCTCTTCTGGGGAGGTGACAGAGCTTCCTGATGCCAGGGGGGTTTTAGACAGACACCTTAGACCCATAACTAGGAAGAAAACTCCCACTTCAAGCATTGGGTTCTCACCAGGTGGGAGTCTTCCACTTGAGAGGATTCAGGTAGAGGTTGTGTTACATCTAATTAAGGGTTGGGGTTCCTTTCCTTGGTTGGAAAAAGAAGCAAAATGAATATCAGGATTGAACCATGCAGAATCCTGTAGTCAGGGTTCACCGGTGTCTGTCAGCTTTCCAGTTGATCCGAATGCCGCAGCAAGTTCCTACTTCTGCAGCTTTTGTAGGCCCCTGTGTAGAGTGTAGCTCCCCTCCAGTGCTACCTGGCACTGATGTACCTGTAAAATTCTAATTAACTTGATGGTGGAGTCATTTCTCCCTGGTTTGGACTCAACTGTCTAGATGCCATGACACAGAGGTATGATTTTAACCAGTACCCTCAGCAGCAGAGATGGAATCCCCCAGGCTGATGACACTTACAGGGCACTTACAGACCCTCTCCGAGCTCCATTATTGTTTACACGTAAGCCCAGTCAGATGGGGCTCACTGTTTCCAGTAGCTGTCCACAGCCATTGTGAATTCCTGTTGGAGACAATTATTATCCCATACCACCTTCCATGAGGAGGGCAAAAGCTTGGATTTTTGCAGCCAAATGAGAGAAATAAGAGATTGCAGATAGTTTAGTAGAGACATCCAATTGGTAGCGATGAGGGAAGGGTGTTTGATTCGCATTGGATATCCAAAGGGAGGCGGCGAGCAAGAGGGTTAGAAGAAGCAGTAATAGCAGTGATGGGAGGGAGATCGAAGATAAACCCAGATCTTAAAGTGGGTAAATAGATGAGAGTAATTATTTTATCACATCAGGGTTGCTCATGTGAGAGATCTTTTCCATTGGCAATTTTTTTCCTTGGAAATACTTCCAAAAAGAGAGTTCCTTAATTCCATGCGATTGTGCATGCACACTGCGTGCCACAAGCAAGAATACTCACATGAATTATTCGTGCCAGAAATCATCTCCACAGACAACATATGCCTGTGAGAATACATCTTCAAGATAGGGTTATCCCTATTATGCAGGGATGTGGAGCCAACCCAGGAGGAGATAAGTATTACAGGGTATGTTTTTGTTCTACCTAATGCGGCATTAGGATCCAACCAGCTTGAATGTCCCTTGGGCACGCCCTCTCTTACACTCTATCCATGTGATCATGCCTTCGAGTCTCGTCTCTGTGTTCGCTATTTCTGTTGGCCAAACTGCACCTCTGGAGAGTTTGTGGAATCTCATCAGCAGACTGAGCACAGATTGATTTGATTTTGCTACATGTACTGCTCAGGATGTGAATCTGCTTTCGTCTGTGATTGTTCCCTGTCCCATCCCTATTCTGCCCAATTGTTGGAGATGACAGATCATGTTCAAAAGAGGGAATGGATTGCTCGTAGTATCGTTTGTAGCTTCTGTCTGTGCTTATCCGTTACTCTTTTAGGCTCCAGTGCTAAGATTCCTATTAGTTATTTCAAGTTATTTCAAGTTTGATTTCCAGACCAAGTACTGGAGTTCAAGAGGATGCCCCAGGTATTTATTTTTTTGGTAGATTCGATCAATAGTCCACTGATGTCAATGAATTGACAAATGTCAATTAACATCTTTTTTTTTTCTTACTGAAATAAGAAATTATTGATGGCTCCCCTAGTCATCAGCATACGTAGACCTATAAGCCATCTAGTGTGGATAGTGTATACACTGGTTGTCAAGAACCATTCTAGCTTATACCCAGTCTCAAAAAATGTTAATTTTAAATAATATTAAGAAAATGTTAAAGCCACCACAATGAGGACTTCGACACTTTTTTCGCAGTATTGCAATGCAAACTTATTTATCTACAAGTATGGGCAGTAATTTTCAATGGCTATTGATGAAGCTGGATTTTGACTCCAAAGTTTGTAATGACATCACTTTCTTTTCAGTTATGTTGGAATACAGGTTCTTGTACAATTTATGATACTCTAATGAAGAATTTTGATGGCAGTTTTAGTCATAGCTAGGTATGAGAAGTGGAGACTAGGGAAGAGAGTTGGCAGACATTATAGCTTCATACAGGGTGAGTCAAAAGTTTGTTACCATTTCTGTAAATGAGATGCTCAAACTGTGTTCCATGTAAATGTTTGCATGTTAAAATCTTGGCTTTCACATGGTCATAAACACAAGTGAGTATGTCTCTCATAATTTTCCTGTGGACTCATCTCATTATCATCTGCCATAATCAACTAATATCTGCAACAGATGGAGAGAAAACGAAGTTCTTATTAAGGCTATGGTAACGGACTTTTGACTCACCTTGTATATTTGCCTGCGTGTGTTGTTGGCATAATTGTAGTGACGTTCTTCTTTCCCTCTGAACACATAGACGAGTGCAAAGAAGGGCCGTCGAGCAGCCCCACCTCCTCCCTCCTCTGCATCAGGAAGCCTTGAAACAGAGGATGCTGACCTCGGTCTTGCTGATGACATCCTCATGAGTCCCACGTCTGCATCATCGAGACCCACCACATCTGCATCCCGGAAGAGTGTCCCTGCTCCTAAAGCAGAGGTAGACTCAGTTGGATTCCACTTGCAGGCTTATTGCAAAGTCAAAGTGTTTTGGAAGTTATTTTTTGCTTCAGCTTTGGTTACCATCATGGTTTGGTTTTTGTTCTGAGACAAGCAGACAAGAGCTTGTTAGATCCTGGTTCTGGATCACATTCATTAAGTACTTTTTATGTAAGCTACATAAGTACTCTCTGACTAAGCTTAAATTCAAGTTCTGATAGGATGACATGCCTTAAAAGTTTGTCTTTCTCTGACAGAGCAATCATGTGCGTGCAGTCCCAAGTGCTCGACCCCATCGTATGACTGGATGGGCAGAAGAAGGATTCCACCTTGGCAGGTGAGAACTAAGCAAGTCCATAGCTTGTCCATATGGTTACATTACTTCCAAGGTTTGGTTCCTTTGAAGGAATCCCTTTTTTTTACCTGTACTGTCAAGGAAGGAGGTATATGGTAGGTACATACAGTAATGATTTATTACACTTTTTTGAACAGTTTGTCTTGAAGGAAAGCCTGAACTGTTAGTCGGACTGCATTTGAGGTCCTTTTATGAATGAAAGAATCTTACTTGGGAAGTTTAGCTGTTTTCTGGGTGAATCAAATGAAAGTGAGCCAACGCGTGTTTATCAAGAAACACGTACATTTATTTTTTCTAAATTTCCATGGGCATTTTGGCATTTGCTCCATTGAGTCCCTAGTCTTGTGATGCCTCGTTCGTAGAACGATTGTGACAACTGGTTCAAAATGTCTATAACGGCATCCTTCACTGCAGCGTCCATCGTAAAGTGACGTCCCTTCATGCGCTTCTTCGGCTCCCCAAACACGTGGAAATCGCATGGGGAGAGGTCCGGACTCTACGGTGGGTGTTCCAGCACCTCCCAGCCGAACGAGTTCAAGGTGTCCATGGTCACTTGGGCCGTATGTGGTCTGGCGTTGTCGTAAAGGAATATCGCTCCATTTGTCAGGAGACCTCGGCGCTTGCTTTTTATGGCCTTACGCAACATGGGAAGTCTCTGGCAATACCGTTGGGCATTAACTATCTCTCTGTGGTTTGCGAAGTGGATGAGTAGTGGTCCACGATGGTCAAAAAACAAGGTGAGAAGCACCTTTGGAGCTGTCGGTTTGGATTGGATCTTTCTTGGTGGGGATGACTCAGGGTGCTTCCATTGGCGACTTTGATGCTTCGTTTCAGGTTCGTAGTGGTGACACCACGTTTCATCCCCCGTAACGATATGTCGCAGGAAACTTTCACCTTCACGGCTGTAACGGAGCAGATGTGTCAACGCGAAACCATGACGGTTCCATTTTTGTTCCTGTCAGACATTTTGGTTTCCACTTAGCGCACAGTAACCGCTACTGCAGGTGTTCGTGCCGAATAGTGTGTGCAAACCCAAAGCTTATTTCCACAGCCACAGCTAATTGATCAATGGATGGATATTCGACGATTTTCTTGCACCGAGTCCTCTTGCGCGATGGTCTGAGGTGTAATGGCACGATTTGCCTGCCCCGGCCGGGCATCATCATTAGGCTCTCGCGTCCTGCATGAAATTGTGCGGACCAACGTTTAACCGTTGCTAAGGACCAACAGTGTTCTCCATAAACTCGGCATTCTTCGGTGAATTTTGTATTAACACCCTCCGCTGTAAGGGAACGTACGACACCACGCTGCTCTTCCTTTGGCTCGTTCATGTTTTCACTGTCAGCTACACCACCTGTAATATAGCTATGCACTGAATGTAAACGTACGCCACTGGTCTGGATTTACCGTGGTGTAGTATAGGATTATTTTAAACGCATGCGCGGGTTTCTAGACGGGACCATTTTTGAACAGGGGGGAGAGGCTCACTTTCATTTGATCGCCCTAATACAACATACAAAAATTACTTTAAAAAGGTGCCAATAGGGTCACCAACAGAGCAGCATAAATGACCCACGTTTTGAAGGATCTCAGACAAAAATGAATATACATTTCTTGGGAAAAGACATTATGAAATTGACCCATTTTAAGCATGACAAACATATACACTAGGGTGCAAAAGTCTTTACCCTCAGTATTTCAAGTATTTCTCAGGGTGGACGGGATGAATATCAAAACCAGTTGTATTCACAGATAAGGCATGGGGCATGGTACAAAAGTATCACAATAGTTGATCCTCTCTCCCTTCGAGTCAATCAAAACCAAACATCGCGCTGTCATCGACTTGGCCAAATGATTTAGAGTGGCCAAGTCGTTTCTGTCCCATTCTTCGTGCAGAAATCTGACCAGTTCGTCGAGATTTGATGGTTTCCGCTTCTCGACACGCTGTTTGAGGATCGACCGGAGGTTCTCGATCGGATCGACGTCGGGACCGTTTGACGGCGTCGAGCGTTTCGGGCACTTCCTCGAGTAGGAACTGCTTCGTCACTCGACTTCTATGTTTGGTATCGTCGTCTTGCTGCAACCGCCAGTGTCGACCGAACTGCCTTCTGGCGCTACGGAGGAGGTGATCTTGAAGGATTTGAACATTGTAATCATGCCATCCATGATTCTCTCGAACGAACGACAGCCGACCAGGCTCATGGCACCGAAGCCGCCCCGCGCCATAATGTTCTGTCTGTTCTTCAGGATTCGCTCCACCTCGCCTCTTGGATTCTTTGACCATCGACGAATCGTGTTTCTGAATAATCGGTAGGAGGTCTGGTCGGTGAATACCGTTTGGCTCCGATCATCGTTCTCGTGTCGAATTGTCCAATGGACGCGCGCATCTTTGTGCTTCTGTCAACATTGACGTCGCTTGGGGAAAAGTACTCTTGTAGCCCATCCGTTTGAACTGGCGTCGTACCTTCCATCGGGACACGGGCCGACTTCGGTCTTGAAGCAACTTTCGCGCCAGTTCTTTCGACGTCGAATGGTTTCATCGAATCCACCGGGCGAGTGCCTTGTCGTCGGCGGCGGTGATCTTGCAGGGTCGGCCGTTATGGCGTCTGTTCTCCACCATACCTCGTTCTTTGATCTTGGCAATATTATACTCGACAGTCCGAACAGGGATCTTCGTCAGACGAGCAATTGTGGCAGGAGATCGATGGCCGTTGTTCCACAATTGTAAAATAGTTGATCGCTTCGTTTTCGACGATGTAGAATTTCGTTGTTGAGACTTTTTCCCCAAACTCGAGAATATTTATGACGATTTGCGGTTTTCACTGCTATATTAGACCTGTCCTCACCTTCTCGAATATCTCTCCAGAAATTTCCAGAGATATGCTTCCAGAAAGTTTGCTTATGTGAGGGGCAAGGACTTTTGCACCTTAGTGTATATAGACTATATATCTCCATATTCGCTGGAGTATGCTTCAAATGAATTCCCATTGGGAATTTCTTTTGACATTGGGAAGTAGAGGAGTATATCCTTTGTCTTATTTTCACAGCCATGATGTAGTGCATATTTTTATACAATTAATCTCCTTACATTATCTTCAAGTATTTCCTTCTGTTTTTATAGGAGGAAGAGTACAGCCAGTGTCTTGGAAGAGTGAGTCCCATTCCTAAGTCGTTGATTACATGATACTATTTTTTATTGGCTTTGTCCTGCTCTATTATCACATATGTTAAGCTTTTGTTTCTTGCAGTTTGAATGAAGAAATGAGAATAATTTTGGCCACCTATTCCAAAATTGCATATTACCAGGAGAAAAATCAGAAATTGCCAGCAAGACTCAAGTGAAAATTCTTTAAAATGAAAAGTTGGTTCTGAATGTGTATACAGCTCAGAAGAAAAAGGGAAAGGATGACAGATATATCTATGGATATAAACTTGTTATTAGTCATACTGTTCCCATGTATGAAAGTAAGAGAAGGCATGCAATGAATGACCTCAATGACCTTGAGACAGGAGCTCATGGTAATGAGAGAGCAGGACAGGGCAGGGCCTGGCCAAGGAGGAAGGGGTGTCACTGTAAGGATACTCCAGAGGGGAAACATTTGGGCTGATGGTGAGACCATGAAGGGATAACAGACTTTGCAGAGAACCTTGTTTATTGTTTTAATTTCTTTAACCATTACATTCCCTCAGGCAAAGAAAACTCTGGGAAATGCGTATTTTGGCATTCATTTTTCAGAATTATGAATTGAAGTACTATTTACTGCATCATAAAGTTCTTGATAAATGTGAATGGGCTGAATTAATAAACCTGGATTTTAAATTTCTATGTTGTTTTTATGCAGGGAGAGATTTCGAGAAGCAGATCACATAGTGAAGGCTGATTCAGATGAAGGTATGAAGCAATTCAATATAATTTTGTTAATTTTAGGAGAAAGCTTATTAGTATGTTATCTTCAATGTACATGTTATGGAAATTACATATAGGAAAAAATCTGTGTTTAATTTTTGTTTCTCAAGATGGAATCAATTACACATGTGCAGTTTTGAGTTAGCTGCCATGTTTAAGCTAGATTTCAATAATAGGAACACACTAGCTGACTCATGGAAGACTTCCACAACTTCAGGTCAGCCTAATGTCAGACACTTAGGTCTTAAATCTTGACCTTTGATGTCCTTCCAACTCCATGAAACATATTGTGAAAGGGGATCAAAGGAACTTTAAAAGATACACTGCTTTCCAACTCTCAATGTTAATGAGGAGAAACTTCTGGGCACTTGAGTTGTGACCATTGGATCAGAAAATTACACTTTTTTAGCTATGCTGAAGTCCCTGTGTTGTGAAAAGTACTTGACCATGGGAACTGAATTTAAGTTTTTTTTTTTCAAAGGGCCCTTCAAGCCCATCAATCTTAAATTCAAAGCAGATCAGATAAATATCCTTTTTTAAGTTTTGTTATGGAATGACCCATGTGTTAAATGCTTTTTTCATTTGTTGTAGAAGAGCCAGTGATCCCTGATTTAGGAGATGTGCAGGATGAGGACTTCTCCCAGCAGGTTGCTCAGGCTCCTACGTGAGTAGCACCACCATGCATCCTATTGTCAAATTTCCCTGGTTTGCAAAGTACACTCTATCCCAAAAAATAGTGGAACTTTTTTTAATTTGTAGCTGCTCATAAATGGTTTAGACTATGGCTGTGTGCCTTTTAGGGGTGACTAATGGATCAAAGAAACATATTCATGAAAAGTCATAACAATGTTAATTCACTGGTTCTATAAATACAGGAGATCAATAGGAGCATGATGTGTAAGGAAGAGTGGCCAGAACTGCATAGGTACCTGCCTAAAAATTCGGTTGTGTGCCTCATACAGGGTGGTTGACATGATGTGTATGACCAAGAAAATAAGTGCATTGTTATTACATGTCTCGCACTCAGAAGAGGGACTGATAGTGCCCTCCATTAATCTGTACACAAGCACATGATGTTGGTAAAAAAAAAAAAAGACATTGCAAGTTTCATTCTGTCTTGCTATAGGGGAACAGTGAGTTCCCTCTCCATCTTGGTATGTTCATGCCAAGTGCACCCAGCTGCACTGGTAAACTACAACCTCATTAAGAAATATCTGCTGTACTTACAGATTCAGTAGATTTTGATATACATTTACACATATGTTCTCATTAGTTATATTAGTCAGCCCTCAAATGCATACATTTACCATAGTCTCAACCAATTATGAGTAACTACAAATCAAAAAAATGTTGCAAAAATTTTTGGGACATGTCTCAAATGTCTCATGCCAATGCCCCAGTGACCGGTACTACCAGTACATTGACCTGTATGATGTAGAGATCAAAGGAGATGACCTGTACATTACAAATCACATTAAAAAATACCACCATTCTTTCAGTGTCATTTTCAGTTGCATATTACGATGAATAGTAGGAATGGCATCTATTCCTGTAAGAAATTGGCCTAATATAAGTTTTTTGTTCCACTCATTATACAACTATGGAATTTTTCTTTCTTGTATTGGATTGGATTTTTTCTGGTATATATATTCCTCTCATTTCTTGACTTACCTGGGTGATGTGCTATTTATACTCTGAGACTTTGGAAGTCATTGATGCTTATATATCCCCTTTATACAATTTTTCACTCCTGGCATGGTTCTGTCATGCAGAGTAGGATAACTGTTATATGGGATGGGAGTAATAAAAATAAATGATTCCACCTTCTGTGTAGGGCTGGCAGGTTAAAAAAAGTATAAGGTGATGGAAACTTGGCATATGAGAAGGATTTTTGATGGTACTGATGACATGTGGCTCTCCCTCTGGCAGGGTGGCTGTGAATAGAGTTGCAACCTACAAGGAATTGGACTCAGACCTCTTCAGGCACTCAGCTTTTGCAACTCTAGATGAAATAGATCTCCGAGCCCTCACCAAGTGCATGACCTCAGAAGCTGAGGTGAAAGAGGTCAGTCTGGTTCTCAGTCACTTGAACCCTCTTAGTGTCTGTCTCATTCCACTGAACTTTGACTGGAATTTCATATTATGGAGTTTGAGTCAGGGCAGAATCTGAATTCTGTGAAAGTTGAAGTATTCATGAAAGGGTTCAAGCCAAAAAATTTCTGTAACGGCATATCCCTCCACTGATCAATTCCTGTGAAACAACCATCTCTTCCCTTCCCCCCTCCCCAAATTTCTACCTTCTGGCTTGTTCAAAAATATCAAGAGGAGAGAACATTTACTGGGACATTTACTTGGAAGTAGAAGCAGAAAAAGTTATTCTGTTTCCCAGTAACAATAGTTTACCTTCCCAGTTTAGCAGGTGTGTGAAATGACCCTGCATTTGAGAGGCTGAGCTGAGGCAAATTAGGGGGTGGCTTGGCATATGTTAAACCATCGCTAGACATGAAGATGCCTATGTCTAGCAGGATTTAATGGGGAGTGTACAGATGGGCATAGCCCCTCAGAAGCTCTTGGCATTTATTAAATTGAAGAAATGTCACTTGAAAGGGTCTTTAGAAATATTTCTGTTGAGGAGCACTTTAATCAATATTTTCATTTCTGGTCTGGAATGTTGATTTTAATGAATTCATACTTCAAGCCTCCCTTCTATCTATTCATTCAATGACATCTGAAACAGCAGGTAACTTCAACTTGTAGGCTTGCTGCTTTCTTTGCAAGAATGTCACATGTTTCTTCCTCCAACATGGAGATCAAGAGCTTGAACTAGGAAGAACCTAATTAAACCCTTAGGCTTGCCAAAGTGTTTAAGGGTTCAAGGGCACTTCTTCAAGAGACACCTGCAGATATTCTCTCCGTGACAGGATACATATGAGTTGACGGGACACACGAACTGCTATGTACCAGGTCTGGCACAGGACCATGTGTGTGAGGTGTGGAATCAAGAGAGTAGAATGAGATTGGATGGTGCTTTGATGGGGAATGGAAATCAATTTATTCTCTCAACCCTGGGGTCTAATAAGGTCACTTTAAAAAAGGCATGATGGGAACTATTAATCTGTCAGCAGAAAGCCAGGTAACCTGAGGCTGACTGCCAACTGATTGATTAAAGAGCAAAGGAAGGGATTTCCAAGGCACAAGATGCTGTCTGATTCAGCAATCGTTATCTCTAACCTTGTGAAATACGCAATCAAAATTATAATCCATTTTTCATGCTGAAGACAAAGCTATTGCTTTATGTTCAGGCAAATTTGATTGGTGTCCCCAATTCTCACCTGTCCTCATTAGGGTGAGATTCTTTCACCCCAGGATTGAGGGAATGCATAATACACAGATCTTTTTGCCTACGCACCTGGCATGGGAGAAAAAATTTATATTCTTCTCCCTGAACTTGCCAAGTCACTTGGTGATATCTTCCCAGTTTCACTCAGGGGTTTGATCTTCCCATTGCCTCTTGGGGGCCTGATCTTTTTGCAGGCAGTCGTCATTTACCTTTTTTTCATTCCATCCCTCATCTCAAACACTTTGACCATCTCTTGTCTTCCGGCTCTTTCTTTTCGCAGTATTTATTCTTTCCCCCTCACCTTTCTTCTCTCAGTTATTTGTTTGTTTTTTTTTTATCCCTGGCTTGCCTTCCCAATAGGTCACTACTCTTCTAAGTAACCTGGTTACCATGTTGCAAAACTTTTTCCACCTCTGCTTGGAAGCATTGTCACATCTTGAGCTATATGATATGATATGATGGACAATTAATGAAGGCATAAAGTCTAAGTTGGCCATTGCCAGAAGAATGTCATATTTGTTGGAAGAGGGGAACACTGCAGGGGAGGGAAGAAGGATGGAAGGTCTTGGCAGGTTACAATCCCATCTGTTTTTTTTTTCCCTCTTCTCCCACCATCAGCATTTTTTCTTGCCTCCAAGGCTTGCTGACCCCAAGTCCATCTACATCTATTAGGTTGTTGCAAAAGTCCTGTTGGTATTGAAAACTTTATTTTCTCAACTTTAGAGCTTTGCAACAAGCGAGGCCTAATCGACCACATATTTGCCATAGTTGCAGATGACCTTCGTCCATGTTCTGGGCAGGTCATGGATGCCTTCTCTGTAGAAGGACTTGGGCTTCGAGGC